GGCTTATTGAAAATTTAAACCACAAGCTGGTGCATCACTCTGAGGCCAGCAAGTGTTTACCATCTTCTTCCTTGCTGAACTTTTCGTTCTGGTCTGGGTACATCAAGGAGTTCACTTCATCTTATCCCTCCAGTTAACCTTTGATGATCCACCCATTGTCAAACGGGCTACCATTAACCTAAATAAAGATAAAGTGCAGTTATTTTCATTATTCACCGCCCTGATCACCCCCTCGAACAAAAGAACTGCTGCTAAGAGCAATCAAATAGGCAAGTCACCATCCTGTTCGTCCTGCCTTCAAGAGGACTTTGATATACAATCAACAGGCACCATTAGAAAGAGAGGAGAACAATGCATCTTTGTACCAATCCAAGGAGAACTAAGGAAAAAATAAAATACGGCAGAGCTATCATGACAAAAGGTACTTTTCCTATTTTCTAGACAGGGTTTTTCATCGTACAAAAAGATAGATGCCTCGTCGTACTAACCCACCATATTTGATGTTGAGGTCTAAACTCTCACTTGCAGAGCTTATTCTAGTCTCCAATATTTAATTTCAAATAATAAGTTGTGAGGAATCCAGAATCTGTAAATTCAGGAATCTGTATGTGACGAGTTATGGTAGAAGGGTGGAGAATGGATGTGAGAATGGTTTTCAGGATATGGCACTCGACTGGTGCTAGGCTTGCTGGTTCTTAAATCCTTAATGGGTATCTGAATAAGAGCCGTCTTCTTTAATAACGGGGGAAGATCATATGGAGGAATAAGAGTAGGGGAAAGGTAATTCAACCTAAGGAAGATTACAGTGCTGCGTAGACATTACTATGAAACTTAAGAGTTTGAGCCTTGTGATGTGAGAGCATTGGATATTGTGCTGAAGCGAATGTGTTACATATGAAGAATATTTATATGAAGAGAACACATAATACATGATTCGGAAGGGAAGCTTTTGGATATCTACATTTATGCCAAAGTAAAAATTTAAACCAGCGAACAAATATTAAAGGATATCTATTTAGATAATCAAATAGACTAAGTAAAATCTGTATGCAACCTATCGTGCAGTCCACTGAATGAATGAAAACTATCTGGTCGTAAGACGAAGGTAACCTGAGAAGGTAAGTTCTTGATCTTCTTCGTCAACTTTATTTAATGAAGCTGTAAGCTTAATCTACTGACCACACGTCCTCCAAAGGATTTATCCCATCAGACATGCAGCACAAGATATACTTGCTGTCCTCACCTGTAGACTCCGCGCGTGTTTGCCTCCTTCCTGGGACCGCCTCGTTACGTTCTAGGAGATGGGCCGCAGTCTGGTTTTAACCCATAGTTATTTGCCAGCATATAAGCATTTCTATTCGATATTTCCAGTAATCATAGTTACAGCCTTTATGTTCACGAAGCCAACCTGACGTTGACGGGGCTAAGCCCAGACATCCAGTGGTTTCGTCAATGCGAGTATAGCTTCTACTCATGGATGAGAAAAGATAATAAAGTGAATTTCTTACAAAAGTTGCATCATTCAATGTTTCATTCCAGCCTGACAGATTTTGCTCCATAGACACTTTCACTACACTATAATCGAACTCCTTCGGATATTATGGATCCGTCCATTTTATGCATTAAATGCATCCAACAAGTCGTTGATGTTGAACGATTTGAAGTATTTTGAAGATGAAAAGGGTTAGTTCGAGATAAATGAACGATAATTCTACGACGTGAAAGACAACCTTGACGGCTACAAGCGTGGCTACATCTTCGAGAATAGGGGCCAGGTCGGTGGGTTCTACCACGGGTGGAACTGACAAAGCTCCTGCGACAGCGTTTGGGCGGACGTCCGCTGTTGCTCCCCACGGCTATAACAGCGTCCACATAATATGCTGAGCGTGCTCTTGCTGGCTACGTGCTGTCAACTGAACTCGCCACCAGTAGACTACGGGCGTGTTTGCCTCCTCCCTGGGATCGCCTCGATGCGTTCCAGGAGATGGACCGCACTCTGGTTTTAAGCTATAGTGATTTGCCTGGATATAAACATCTTCATTGGATATTTCCAATAATCATAGTTATTACCGTTAGGGCCATCAAGCCAACCTGACGAGGACGGAATTAAGACTACACATCCAATGGCTTTATCAATCTAAGTAGCACCCGGCCACAAGGAAAGAGCTATTGATCAAAGTAAACTATCTAATCGTGAATGAAAAAATAAGAATAAAGTGAAATTCTTACAAAATTTGCATCATTTAATGTTTCACTGCAATGTAATAGATCTTGCACTATTGCAACGTATATGATTTTTCAGCCCAGTCCCATGTGTCTTCACCGCTTAATATACACAATAATCTGTTGAAACTCAAGGAATTGAAGTATTTTGATGATGAAAAACTTTTGTTAGAGATAAATGAATAACTTTAGGAAATCTGCAATGTGTGGATCTCCATTTTGAAATCAAGTCAGATTCGCAGAAAGACCTTATTTCTTTGAGTGAAGTTAAGAATAATAATTTTGCATATTGGAAATGTTGTCACACATATAAGTGACTAATCATTTAAAAAGATAATTTAAAGATGAACGCAATGGAACCAATAGATGATCTAAATGCAAAAAATTCTTTTCGTTCTGATTTTTACAACATTATTGAATTAATAATTTTACACAAAGGTAAAATGCTCTAGATTTCTAAGGCAACTAATTAAAATAAGTTTTAGTTGAAAGATTACACCAAAATATATTGGCAAAAGTATCCAAACGCTTACTCAGAGAGGAGTTTAACTCAACAATCCACGTGTCAAGATTCAAAGTTCGCAGGTAGTTATGAATTGTTAATATTTTTGGACATTGTTCTGTGTATTTCCAGGCACGTGCACGACTCATTGAACTCCACACTACTAACCCTTCAAACAAAATTTTTACCAAATAAGTTTAGGAGAGGCATTTGACTGGTTACGTGTTGGAATCTATGGTGTATTTCGTACCGATAAGACAATAAACGATGGCTGTCTTCTCATGTTGCATCACTTTAGAAAACCAAAAGATGCAATGAGAAGGAGATCCCATTCCTTGTTTCACTCTAAAACTTTCCCCAGTTTCGACTTTTGAAAAATCCAATTTGTACCAGTTACAGGCTTGAAAGCTGTTCGGAATGACCCTCTCTATTCGTGATCTCATAATGTGATTTTACAAAGCAGCCACACTACGCATTTTGAAGTGGTCGTCAGCGATTACTTTAATCCGACTTGATATTAGGGCAAATAGTTTATTTTCAGACCTGTACATTTATTCTGTATCCTCACCTAAATAATCGCGGCAGGGAACAGAAAATTGAAGGCAGAAAATTGGTATTTTAAATTACGTACGTTTAAATTGCTGTTTTAAATAGTGCTATATTGGTGCACAAATCACAATTAAAAGAAGAGAAAAAAAAATTGAAGGCAGGGCAGACCAAGCTTTGACCTCTTGTTTGATGACGAAACGACAGCCGATGTTAAATTTATTCCTGGACTTGGCCAGGTCCCAGAGATCAGCTATAAAAAGGATCCACAGAAGAGCCAGGGCTCTTCACCGCTCCATATCCATTCCTTTCTCAATCCCGCAGCCAAAGACTGCCCACTCCCCTCGTTAGAAAGATATGGCAACCACCAACAAGGCCGCATCGGCTGCCGTTCTCCTGCTGCTCATCGCAGCTGCCACCGTTGTGCTGGCGTTGGCCAGCGCCCTGACAGCGTTCTCTGTCCCCGGTTATGCCGGGAGAACCAAGGACGTCAACGGCTGTGGGTGCTTCGATATCAGTCGATACCAATGAGGGTACCACTTCGTGTTTACCAACGGCCAGGCTGCCGTACTGTATACGGACTCCTACTGCGATGGCTCCTCTGTCTCCCTCCACAAAGAGACCCACCGCTGCGAACGCAACGACTTCAAGAGCATCTTTATGGTCTGCTGAGCGGGATCATGAAGCGCCAATTTATTAATGAATAAGCAGCAAACATTGCCCCGGCGAAATGACACGTCGTTGCTCTGTTACAATTCGCCAGTCCATGCGCGCCGTTGCATAGCGCTGATTAGTATGTATCCTTAAAGAATATCAGTACATAACGTTCGCCGCTTTCACTTTCTCATGATTTCTTCGTTCTGCACAAATAAACATTCGATCCGCTATATATATCAGGATTCGTTACCGTTAAACTTATTCGACAAACCAGGAGATTCATTAGGTTTTTAGTAGTCTGCTACGTTTGTTATGGAGGGTGCGCACAAGTTATTTAGGATTTGAGGGGACTTCAAGTGAGCAACTCGTTTTAACATCTTCGGGGAGGTCAACAGACAGATTGTACCAATGCAATCCAACCGGTAGTAGTGAATGCGCGGGAACCAGAAATACCTCTATCCAAGTGACTTGCTAACCCTTGCTATACTAAGGGCGTTTATTCACTCGATAATCTTGGTGTAAGGGCGTTTGCAGCGACACCCGCCTTATGTTTATGTGTGCGTGCGTGTCCTAGAGAGAGAGCTAATATCTGCGGTGCGCTCTTAGTGGAAACGAGATGATTGAATACTGCATGGTTAGTAGGATAGGTAGTACCGCATTCCAGTCCGGACCTTGCCCCAGCTCGGCTCTGAAACCGCGGCCGGACTCAAATTACGAGCCCAAGCCCAGAAATTATCTCACACAATGATTGCCGTTTATTCACTCGATAATCTTACTGTAAGGGCGTTTGCAGCAACACCCGCCTCTTATTTGCCTTTACTATTCAACCGACTTGCCAGCAACCCCCCCCCCCCGAAAACCGTGAAAGACGGGGCGCACGTCCGGTTAGCAGAGCATCTTGACGCTGCGGTGCTCGTTGCGGACGCAGCTGCGGGTCTCCAAGTCGAGACGGTCGGGAAGCTCGCGGCTAGCACAGTTGGAGAAGGCGTATAGCTCGGCCGCCTGACCCTCCGTGTACACAAAGTGAAAGCCGCCGGTGTAAACGCCGAGGTTGAAGCACCCGCAGCCGTTGATGTCCTTGCTCTTTCCACTGCATCCAGGCCCCTCGAATACAGTGAGGGTGCTCGCCAACGCCGGCGTCACGGACGCGACCAGTAGGAAGACGATGAGGAGGGCCGCTCCAACGGTCTGCTGCGGGTTGGTGCTGCCGGCCATATCCTTCAGTAGCGGGACGGGAAGTCCTTTCTCCGGGATTAGGTGAAGGGCTACGAGGACGTGGGAAGAGGTCTGACTGCCTTGTGATGAGATCCATTGCTGTGCCCATTTTATAGGATTTTTGTGGAGCTGTAGAAGATGATGAAAACTTTTGTACGTCACGTACATCATTCATTCAGACCGTGATAAGCGGAAGTCGACCTTTTGTCGTTCTGGTGCCTTTCGGCATTCTCATCTGACGGCTTCTTCACGTTACAACTCTTTTGCGTCGTCAGTTGCCCCGCACGTTCTTCGCAGACGGTTTTGTTGAACTTGTAACCCACCGAATACCCGATGACTGGTGCTGGAAGAAAAGCTTAGATGACTAGTGTGACAGAACACGCGTTTGAAGGAGAACTTGTCCCGGGATGAAGAAATTCGGTTCCGTTCGTTGTTAAAGCAATGCACCTTCTCGCTTTCACTACGCGTCTGCGCTACTACTCTACGCAGCACTCAGCTGGTCAATGTAGAACTCTCTTTGGATTTAATTTCTTGTAGTCTTTCTCTGCGTCGCACGTGCGTGTTGTAACCTTCCTTCGCATACACCTTCAGACACATGGCCCTCATAGAGAGTTGGCTATTTGCAAGTCTCCTCCTCTCTCAGACCATTCTAGGCCCCGTCACTTTTGCCCAGTCAGATACATAATAAACATTATTATCTGAAAAACAACCAAAACATCCGAAAAACGTCAAACTACCTTTCAAAATGGGTGCCATTTTGAAATGCAGTGACCATTCAAAACCATGTACGCTCTCCAACCTCAACTATCCTCCATCAAACCAGACGTGAACGAATTATAGTCTAACGCACTGACAGTTTCCGTCCACAACGGACAATTGGCTCTACGGAAGACGAAGATCAACAAGACCGTCTGAGAAGATCGATCATGTGGGCCAGCACCAGATGAGAAGGACTGGTGATGTGAAAGGGCTACCAGATGCGAACGGAGAAAGTTTTGGTCGCAGGAAGTCAGATAACTACGATCGGCCGATTTCCGGCGACCGGGGTGAGAGGCGTGACGTATCGAACTTTTGTCCATGCTTCAAAATCTCTTTCTCAACCTTATAAAACCTGCAAACACTAGGCGTTTTTAAGTGCACAACCAGATTTTCCTCGCACCCCTAAAACCCTTGCGCCAATCCTCGAGGAAGAACTCTCCGTCAACTGCTGCAAGAAGATATGGCAGCCAGTAGCAATTGTCTGCCCGCCATGGGAGCGGCCGTTCTCCTCATGCTCATCGCGGCCGCAGCCGTCCTGCCGGCGTCGGCGAGTACCCTGACTGTATTCGAGGGGCCTGGGTGCAGCGGAAAGAGTAAAGACATCACCGGCTGTGGCTGCTTCGACCTAGAGAACTACAACGGGGGGTTCCACTTCGTTTATACAGAGGGCCAGACCGCAGAGCTTAAAGTTTCCCATGACTGCACAACCCGGGAGTTCCCCGAGGTGCTCGAGCGGGAGACCCGGAGCTGCATATCCAATGACTACAAAGGTGTGAACATGCTTTGTTAAATGTACTGGGTGATCGAAGCTCTGGCGAGCAGGGGATCAACCACGTGGAATGATAATGAGAAATAAAGATATGGTGCTACTCCTTGCGCACCAGGCAGATTGGCGTAGCCTTAGGGCCTCTGTACCTTACGTGCGAAATGAACATCTTACACTTTGCTCTCTTCTGCTATTAATAATTAATTTCTTCGTCATGACAAAACAGTACCAGAGTATCTGACTATTATTTTCTCACGTGTATCTGAACTGCGAAGTTTCCGCTTTCAGAAGCCGCTGAGTTTAGTCTCATTTTCTCGCTCTGTGCGCGTATATCCGTATTTATACCTAGATCCTATCTCTTTAGGAATCCCCATGATAATCGAAGTACGCTGAGATTTCCTTTCTTAATCTCGTCAACATTATTTCATCGGTGAAACGATAAGCAGCTGGCTGCCACTTACCCTTCTGATCTTAATCCCCCGCGTACAGACAGGACGTTGGACACGAGCGGGAAATGTTATCCACGTCTACCCATGTGTCTGTCGCGCCTAGGTCGTACAATGCCATTCGTAGGGTGTTTTTCCCCTGAAAACCGTCCACTGTTGAATATTATCCGGGAGGCACGACCAGTTCATCCGATTCTACGCGTATCTGCACGTCATGTTGAGATCTTTCGCTCCTTAGTATGTTAGTGGCCACAGTTTCTAGAAGAACCTCATTAATGCCGGGGAAGAAATGCTGCGCGGTTGATCGACGGGAAGCTACAAAAATGACGACTTCGTTCCAGGGGATGGATTTGATCCGCGACCTGCACTCAGATTTGCTGTTAATGGGCTCTACAGAAGTTTTGACGGAGATTCAATTATATCAACAGCACGTGGCTTCCCCGATGGTAGTTTCATAAAGAGGAGATGAGGAGGGTGGTAGGGTGCCATCGCGTAGCCTACTCCTATTCCAAACTTCAGAAATTGAGTGAAATTTAGCCAATTCCAGGAGTAGAACAGACCTACTAAGCATAATTAGGTCGGACTCTTCCTAGAGTGTTTTTCAACATCAGATCGTGGGAATTTTGAACATCCAAAACTGACCTGCATTAGTTGCTTAATGCGAAAACATGGGGAACATTACATTGAACCGATTTAGCCGACCGAGGGAGAGTATGCTTGGAGATGGAATGAAGAATTTGCAGTCAGCGGATTAGGGTCGACCTGCATCCTAGTAGAAAGTTATCCCGTCAACTTGTTAAAACTTCCCTGGATACGAAGGACACCGATTCGTCTACCGGCCTGAAGCCCACAAAGGAGCGGCGTCACCAGAAGTCTGTTGTATCCTAAAACCAGCCATGACCGGTTAGCTGCATCCTCGTGTTGTAATCGGTTACGATTTTAAAGATCGAGGAAACCCACTTGCGCTGAGGTATGGGAGAAGCATTTGGCGGGTTAAGCGTTGTAAGCTATGGTGCGTTTCTGATCAATATAGCATAACCGATGGTTATCTTCTCCTGTCGCAACTCTTTCGGGAAGCAAAAGCTGTAATCAGAAGGTGATCTTATTCCCTATTTCACCTTCAATCTTTCCCAGGCTTCGAGTTTTGAAACACCCAACTTGTATCGGTACCATGCTTGAAAGCTGTTCGGAATGACCCTCTCTATTGGCGATGGCATAAGCAAATGAGATTTTACAGGCAAGCAACTCTACGCATTTCCAGGTGGTCGTCAGCTATTAGTTTAACACGACTTGATATTAGGGCAAAAAGTTTATTTTCAGACCTCCACGTTCCTTTTCAACTCTCACAATGATCAATACCGGACTTGGATGTAAATAGGCGTTTCAAATAGTGCTATATTGGTGTTTAGGAGGATAAACAAGGGAAGCAGTGGCATCGGCGATACGTGGATCAAAGTTGACCAGGAAACTGAAGGTTACACGGCGGACACAGAATGAGAACCTGGACAAGGGATGCTACCGACGAGCAATTCTCTTCCGATTTCGCACGGGTAAGTGGGACTTTTGAAACATGAAAGTTGAACGGATAAGCTGTCCCCGGGGAACAATGGAAAACGAGGTCCCAGTGGATTATACGCCACCAACCCTCTTTCCATCCTGCTCGCAAGACACCACGTCGGCGTTGTTATCTTCGACGAGGTCAAGTTCAACAAAACCGCGACGTGGCGACAAGGCCGAGGAAGCCCCAATAAAGACGGAACCGCTGCAAACACGAGGGGTCGCAATTCAAAGAAAAGACAGGGAAGACACAGCGTTTACGTCTTCTTTGGTGACCAAACGACAGACAATGTTGAATTTATCCCAGGACTTGGTCAGGTCCCAGGAATCGGCTATAAAGAGGTCCCCAGCAAGAGCCAGGGCTCTTCACCGCTCCATATCCGTTCCTTTGCCAATCCCCTGCCAAAGACTACCGATTCCCCTCGTTAAGAAGATATGGCCACCACCAGGAAGGCTGCCGCAGCTGCCGTTCTCCTGCTGCTCGTCGCAGCTGCCGCCGTTGTGCCGGCGTCGGCCAGTACCCTGACGGCGTTCTCTGGCCCGGGATGCGCCGGGAGAACAAAGGACGTCAACGGCTGTGGGTGCTTCGACATCAGCGGGTACCATGGAGGGTTCCACTTCGTGTTTACTGAGGGCCAGGATGCCACGCTGTACACAGGCTCCTACTGCGATGGCAACTCTGTCTCCCTCTACAAAGAGACCCGCCGATGTGAACGCAACAAGTTCAAGAGCATCTATATGGTCTGCTGACCGGGCTCATAGAGCGCCAATTTATGAATAAATAAGCCGCAAACGTTGCGCGACGAAAGGACACGTCTTTGCTGCTTTACTGTATTGGAATCCTCGCGCGCCGTCTCATCGCGCTGATTTTCATGTATCAATAAGGAATGTCGGTAAATAAGCCACGCCAGCTTTCACTTTTTCATGATTTCTTCATTTTAGGAAAATAAGCGTTCGATCCGTTATATGAGGATTCTTTACCGTTAAACTTATTCGATCAATCAAGAGATTCATTACGTTTTTGATAGGCTTCTACAGTTTTTCTGGAAAGAGCGCGGCTGTTATTTAGGATTCTCAACGATTTTACAAATGGGGAACTCTTTTAAAGTTCTTCGAGGAGCTCTACATACAGATTGTCCGTCATGCGTTTAGCACCATTGTAATCTAAATGGTAGTAGTGGAACTGCGGGAACCAGTAATACCTCAAGTGACCTGCCAACCCTTACCATACTAATGTCCGCGGTTTCAACTATCATTTAACTTGTGTGATGTCGCTCGTAGCATCGCGCTGATGCAATTTGTTAACGAGAGAATTTACGTAAATGAGGTACTCATCTTCGTGAGAGCAGGTTCTGACAGGTCTCCCACGTCTTAACCCATGTTCCGACATCCAACGTTTGAAAGGTCACCATAGTAAGTGATCACATCCTAACGACGTTCGGCTTGTAAAAGAATTATTCTTCGGACTCTTAATAGTTGGACTGTTACCTGAAGGAGCTTCACCGGCATAGCCAAAAAACTCACGATACTTACGAAAAGTGTCACTTAATGATTCTTATATCGCGCTGGGCTATTACCAACCTAACCTCTTTCAAATCGACTGCGTTACACAGGCTTCGCACCGCTGAGCGGAAAGCATGGACACTGTTCAGTAATCAACCCATCTAAGGTATGAATCGTCTCGTCTCTTTCACTTATTCGATCCGCTTCCACAAAACAATTGCGTTCTGTTTAGACTTTTGTATCAGTTCTGCTGGTCTCCTATGACTAATTATGGACTAAGGCCAGTGACAGATCGGCAAGAAATAAAACCATAAAGGATTCCGTTATGTTGGAGAAAGAGTTTGACCCATTGTTGATGTCTCCCATCTTCTGTGGGTTCGGTGTTCTATGTTCCCCCATGTCGAGAGGAAATCTGCAATTCATGTATATCGATCTTTGGTGTGGTTGCTCTCACTACCCTCGCATCTGCTCCGGTCCCACTTTCGGCTATATCTAAATTAATCTGGTGTACTCTGTCCTCTATAGGGTAAATTTATCGGAGGGTATTTTACAAAGGGCGTAATATGCTAAAAAACAGGTGAGATTGTTGGGTTCAACGTTTCACGACAGAGAAATAAAATCCCATAAAGACAAACGCCAATGTTGTTTAGCAGAAAATGCTGTAGAAGAGCTGCACAATGACATTTATTTCCCCCATGTTTATCTGCCAATTTGTTTCCTGTTAGTGTTACACATCGCCATGGTCAATTACATACGATGACAATATACTGAAGCAAAAGAATTAATGTAGTTTAATGGTGTATGATCGAATAGGTAGGAACCGCTAAAGTCAATCTTGCTTTTGTAATAACAGAGTAGTACAAGACCTACTCAATATCAACACATTATGAGTATTGGAAGGGACTAAGGTAACTATAAACAAATATCATTACTAATCTAAATAAACTTTAGATTGCAGTTAATTTTTTTTCACTGCATGCTCCTAGAAAAGTAATCACCTCTTACTATTGACTCAAATTATATTAAAAGAACACAGAATAACAAGAAATAGCAATGAAACCAAAACCTACAATCACCACGAACGAGCTGTTGGTTCATCCAAACAATACCCCTGAGATCTTGGTACTTGATTGTTTGGTCGCATCAGACGGCCCCATATAATGCTCCAGTAAGCTACATGTGATGAAAATTTATAGTGGCTCTTTGGCACATAATTGTCAGGTTGACTCCCGATGCTTAAAAATCGGAAATCTTTTCTATACTGCAAAATAAAATCTTTACCGTTCTATGAGCAACTGCTTGCATGCATTCACTGCCTCTATATTGAAACATTTATTGAAGAAGATGTAAATGAAAATCTGTTGTATTTTTCTTTATACTTCGCTTTCAAAGGATCAGCTTTTACATGATTTACCAAAGGCTATAATAGTTTAAGATATACTTTATTTTCTCCTAACTTCATTCAAAGGAATTTTTATAACATGTAGATGTCTCTTTAAAGAAGTTGTGGATGTACTTTTTATAGCTTAGCTGTCATTTCTACCTTGTGAGTTAGTGAAACTAAAGATGACCTATCAGAAAAGTGCAGTTAATTGTAGAAATGAAATGTGTCGGTGTTCTCATCTGTCTTAGAGAAATAGCTACAATTAGTTGAACATTATCAAGGAGACTCACAAGTTGCGACAGGTGAGGAAAATTTTCAATATGTACTCTGACAAAAATTTTGCTCAAGCATTCCAGACGCCCTTACCTCTACTTCACTGCACCTATCTGCATCTTTGCCTAACTTATGTGTCTATGTGAGTGTATATCACAGTTTCAAGTCTCATCATTTTCAATAGATATAATTTCTTCTTTTATTGTTTTGTCTCTCAACTTTGCCTTGAGTTCCTCATAGCATGATGGTTCTATAAGTATAAGAACAAAAACATATGATTCATATATTTTACATAAGTTTCATACCTTTCTTAGAGGGTTAATTGATTCTGAAGTAGAATCATTATGATGTTTAAACTTAATAAAATTAAATGTGAATTTTCCTGATCATCTTGCTTACAAAAACCCTGAGATAAAAATTTCTTCCTCTAAATCGAAAGGGTCATTACAAGATGCCCACTTGACATTTTTACAAGAACTTTAAAGTGTATTAATTTTTCAAATAGTCTAGATTTTTGAACCAAAACGTATACCCAACTTATGTGAGTAACATCATCAATGATCAATTAAAAATATGAGATATTGTTTAATGTTAGAGTATTTATCAGACCATAAATATCAACATATAATTATTCAAGAGGCAAGCTTGATCTAAAAACTTTGGTATGTTTGTCCTAAATGTAACTGACCTTGGTTTTAACACTTAGCATTAGAAAAAATATTTATTAATTATTTTTGCTGATTTATTGAATATCATTTATTGTAAATCTATAAATGTCCTTTGTTTCAACACTTAAATAGGAAAAAAAATTATAAATCATTTTTCAATGATTTACTAAATATCAATACTTTATATACATTACAATAATTTACATCACAAATAGAATATCTTTCAGAAATATTCAAAGTATATGCTAATGATCTTTGACACTAACTAATAACGAGTTCAAGGAGTTACACTCTTGAGATATCATCTTATGTCTAATTCAGGTTGTGTAATATTAATGTAGTGCAGAACAACATGTGTCAACATGTTTGACGAAATCTGATGAATATTTTTGAAAAATAAAGTTACCTATAGGATTGAAATGTGATACTTGAGTATTGTGAAGATAGAAGCATTAGCACAGAAAATGTCTCAAAAATGAAAGAACCATAGTGTCAAATGTTGGATTCAAACTAAAGAAGTAAGTTTTAAGAAGTCAAAAAAAATGATGGCTGAAATATTTGAATATACTGTAGACTAAAGTATTGATATAATTTTAAATTGAGATCACTATAGTGACACTGTGGAAAATTGATCAAATATTTAAACTAAAATAATACAATTAGTGACTAAAGTAGGATTTGATATCTGGTCTAGATATCTGCTGAGCTGAACCGTTTGCATGAAGCTATCAAGGAAGTAGATAAATATTTGCCAAGTAACTTGCATGGTGATACCTGAAAATTCTACGTGGAGAAAATGACAAAGCAAAATAAGTAATTTTAACTGTTGAAATATCATGAATCTCTAGAAGAAAGCTTTGAAAATCATCTAAGAGAAACCTGCATGTTCTGAAGTAAAGAAAAACTCAAAGTTAGTCTTAACAATTGACAAAATCATTAGAAGAGTTCATTGACCAAATCATTAGCTCAATAATTGTATCCAAGCTTGACCTTGAAGATAAAGATGTCCATTGACCAACTAGAGAATCTCCAAACATATTATCAATGACAACCTACATGCAAATAAAAATATTTGAGTTGAAGCATGACAAAAGGTTAGAAGCATAAATTATGGATGGTAACTCATCAGCTGAATACTTCATAGCCATATCAAACCCAATATTAAACACATTCTTGACCGACATCATTATTGACTATAATAGATCACAAAATGAAAATCATATTTTTGTGATGTAATACTTTCAAAAATTCTATAATGTAAATGCTAATATCAAGAACTATTTTTTTTTTTAATCATTACAAACACAACAAGTCTTGAAATATCAAGAAGAAAAATTCATTTCCTAGCCATGAAAGTAAACATAAGAGACATTCAATTTTTCTTACTCTTAATAACAGATGTATCCTCTTTGGAATGAAAAGTATAATCTCATTTCATCAGTTGACCCACATTGAGTACATTACATGCTAATTTTGGAACAAAGTATACATCATTAATCAATTCATTTTCATGTAACGTTTTTACAACAACTCTGGTGTTAATACCTTCAATTTGAACACTATTCTTATCTTCAGTTAGAACTTCATACTTCAGAGATGTATTTATTTTATTTTATATTTTATGTTGAATATTACCATTATCATACCCTTTACATACAAAATTAGATATATTATACCTTCTTCCTTATCTGCAACTATGGAAAGCTCATCTTCAAAGATTTCTCTTATCATGACATTCATTAGATTTGACTTCTTTCTTTTTATGTTTTAATTTTTTTTAGTTTTATCCTAAATTCTGACGTAAAAGAATGCTCCATGAGTCTATTCATTTTTTCTTCATGTGTTTATAAAAAACCTATTGATACCATAAGTATATAGACAAGCCCATATACTCTTCAATAGCTATAATAACATTATAAAAGTCAAATAGAGTGGTTCTCAATACCTTTATAACATTTTTCATTTCAGTAATATATTCCCAAATTTTATTGTCTAATTAAAAATAAATGAAACATGATAGAAAAATTCTTGAACATATTCACTAGATTTTAATAAAGACATTTTCAATTTTTTATAGAGAGTTGGAAATTTTATTCTTGTAACCTTATTACCTTTATAAAATATAACTTTCAAAATTTACCTTTATCATTTCATAGAAAAAATAGCCTCTAATAGGACATGTTGTAATATGAATAAGGCCTTAGCATCTTCCTTACAAAGTTCCTTACCATGTTGTATTGAATTCTTCCCTCTTTATGGCCATTCTCAACTAACTCTCATAACTCATGCAAAATAAACAATATCCTGATCTTAATAATTCAAGATTCATATTTCTCTCGATTATAAAATGACATAAGATTATAAAAAGTTCAGAGGGTAACCATTCAACATACTCGCAATCAATTGAGTAATATCTTCCAAAAGTCCTCATGCAAGTAGCTCATGTCCTTTGCTACAATAAAAAATCTTCATGACTTTACTAACCTCTTTCTCGAAGCTCTGATGACGTTTTTATGACCTCCTTGGCAAAAAATATCAAACATGATGAACCTAAGTTTCTGATCGTACTTTTTAAGGAAAAAAGGCTACAAATATGGAGACAATGTCTAGATTTTGAAAATAAATTGATTGAAAGAGAGAATAGCATCACTCTTTTAAAATCTAAGGTTCAAGCAGGATTCGTGTAGTATCAATTTGTTTCACAAGAGCCGGGGTTTCCAGTTTTCCCAGTACAAATATGGGAAGCTGAATGACAGTCAGCGTCATCTGACGCAACTGAGGGGCCGATAATAACGTGATAATCCAAACCAACCGCGTGCTGTTATCTTCATCCCCACATCAGACGGGTCGACCAGATGGAATCATTGGGAAGAGAGAAGCTTCCAACCCCAAACGGCTACGCATCGTCTCTCTGTAACTATCTTCTATGTTGCGAAAACTAACGACCGAGAGCAACTGAAGTTTCTTTCCCGTCCATTTAATTTATTATTATGGGCGAGCCGATCAGTAGCCAGAGAAGGTGGACCCATTACCCACAGAAACCTCATTTGACTCTGATCACCAGGGCTAGTTGTGTGACAGCAAAACAATCGCAAAATAATCAAAGGCCTCCTTGCTAATTTATTCGAGGTAATTTCCAACGGTCAGTCAGCCCATGGGTACATTACTGACTGGCAACTCCCGTAGCGCCATCAGCTTTTTATTTACTCTGGGCACTGTCTTGCCCAGAACTCGTGGAAGTGCTCGTTCAGCAGCTCATATAGATGCTCTTGAAGTTGTTGGGTTTGCATCGGCGGGTCTCCTTGTAGAGGGAGACGTAGGATCCATCGCAGTGGGAGCCCTTGTACAGCGTGGCGGCCTGGCCCTCGGTGAACACGAAGTGGTACCCTCCCTGATAGCCGCTGATGTCGAAGCACCCACAGCCGTTGACGTCCTTGGTTCTCCCGGCGCACCCCGGGCCAGAGAACGCGGTCAGGGTACTCGCGGACCCCGGCGCAACGGCGGCCGCTGCGACGAGCAGCAGGAGAACGGCAGCCAACGCGGCCTTGCTGGGGGTGGCCGCCATATCTTCTTGACGAGGGGAGTGGGTAGTCTCTGGCTGCGGGATTGGCAAAGGAATGGAGATGGAGCGGTGAGAGTCCCTGGTTCCTGCTCGTGTCCTCTTTATAGCCGGTATCTGGGGCCTGACCAAGTCCTGGGATACATTCAGCATCGTCTGCCGTTTCGTCATCAAACAAGATGTGAAAACTTGGTCTTCGCTGCTTTCAGTTTTTGTCTACGTCGTTTCTTTCTGATGGCGATCCGACGCGGCTTGTTGGGAAGGCTCGGTGTTCGGCGCAGTTGCGTCATAATTGTGGCTTCCTCGAGCATGTCGCCACGTCAGGGTCTTGTTGACCTTGACCCCGTCGCAGATGTCTGCGGAGGCAACGAGGATTGAAAAGGGGTGGGTGGGGCGTAATCCACCGGGGACTCGTTTTCCGTGTTGCCCCGCTGACACCTTATCCGTTCCAACCCTCCGCTAAAGTTGAGAATGGATAAAATGTCTCGCTTCTTCAAAATATTTCCGTGGAAGAGTTTGACCGTTCGACGGATTAGGCAGCGTCTTCTTATCAGAGCAAGTCGGCGAACCCGATTTGTCCACATTGGGGATTCTGACCACAACCGCCGAAACATTATCCCAGCGCTCCGAATCGCTCCCACGGCGGACGGGGCTGATGACAGCAGCACAGGTACTTTTAGGGATCGCGTTTTCTTTAATCACGGCTCGCAGTTTTCCACGGAGAAACTATTTTTCAAATGGCCCCAGCAGGGACTGCTCTAAGCTGTCACCTTGCCTACATTGGGAATTTGTTACGTTGAGCACGTCGGATATTCGCCAGATTTTGTTGAACCCGAAGAGCTTACTAATTGTCAACTACTCGCAGCATTCTGAAATACGAGTATCTAGAAGCGTACGACGCAACTAGTGTTATCATTTTCTTCATTCTAAGTAAGGACGTCAGATGTACGAACGTAGGAAGCTCCCAACGGTCAGAAGAGAGGGCCCGTCAGTAGTTGGGCACGTGACACACTTAATGGGCAGGTCGCCTATTCATTCCAGCCGAAAGAGCCACGTTTCAGCTCGTGGCGGGAGACAAGACGAGGAGCCAATAAAACGAGAGAGCATGTCCGCCTGCCCAAGCGCCAGGACGGTGGAAAGCCACTGGGGGTTCAGCGGCAAACGGAAGGAGGCTGCGTCCTTGGGCTTTACTGCGCCATTGAGCTCGCCGTCGCTGCTGGATGCGGCGTGTGCGAACTATAACAGTGGAGAGAGAGAAAAGGCACGTGGGATGAAGACAAGTATCTAACCGGAGCATAACTCTCTCCACGAGAAAATCAGATTAACAGCAGCTCTCTTGCTTGATGGAATGAGAGAGTCTATTAAATGAGCATGATGATGTAATCCTTGAATCCCTCATGGCTCTCTTCTTTCTATCACTTGGGTCTGAGAGAGCCTATTAAAATGAGCATGATGAAGTTTTATGACCTTCCTGTTTAACGCTGTAATCTTATTACCGATTGGTTTTTGATATTTTTCCCTCTTCGATTTGACGATTTGTCATGTATATTTTCATGTTGAATATCATTCAAATGACCGTTTAAACTTATTATGATTCGAAACATGCTTGAACTGTTCATATACTGCATTTCATTCTTCTTTATCAGTGACTCCGAGTACGCTTGCATTATATGACATTGTGAAATAATTTCGCGTAATACTATTAGGGAAAAGTTGTACCATTCTGCGATATCTGCGAAGCTCACCCGAGATTTAAGTTCACCAACCGTCCCTCATCTCGTGCTGCCGGGGCCATGTCGGTAACCTTTTCATACCACCAGTCGTTCACGTCTAGTGATGGCCCACATGATCTTCTCATCCGGACTTTTTGAATTTCTAGTCTTTCGTAAAGCCCACAATCCGTGCCGAACAAAGTGCAATTCGTTCACGTCTGGTCTGAAATTAAATTGTTGAGACTGGAGATCGTACATGATTCTTAGTGGTTCACTCCTTTCAAAGTGGCAAACATTTTGAATGGTACTTTGATGGTTCTGATTTTATGCTAGTTTTTCAGGTATTAACGAATCGTACGATGCTCCGAGAGCAGAGCTGCGCAGCTCTTCGAAGAAAACCTGCAAATAGCCGACTTCCTATGAGGGCAACTTGTCTGAAGATGTATCTGCCGAATGAACGTTACAAGACGCACGTGCGGCTCAAAGAAATACTACTAGAAACAAAATTCAAAGATTCTTCAATATCGAACAGATGAGTATTGGGTAAAGTAGAGCAGAAACTGGTGGAAACCAGAAGGTGCACTGCTTTAAGGACGAACGGATTTGAATTTCCTACTCTAGGGACAAAATTCTCGTACAAATTAAAAGTTTATGGTTGAGCACGGGTCATCGGGTACTCGGTGGATCTAATGTTCGACAAGGCTGTCTGCGAAGAATGCACGGGGGCAGCCGGCGACGCAAAAGACGAGTGACGTTAAGAAGCCGACAGATGGGAATGGAAAAATGCCCCCGAATAACGAACCGTGGACTTCTTTTTATCGCTGTCTGAAAGATGATTTGTTGAGTACGGAACTTATCTTCAACCTATGAAGAAGATAAGAAAGAAGGAGAACGTGATATATATATATAGAGAGAGAATGTAGACAGAAAATATAGAAATCGTATTACTCTCTCGTATATCTATTACAAAGGTATGTTCATCAATTTATAGAGGAATCGGGAGTCCCGTTGGGAGAGTGCCGTTGCAGCCTTCAAGGGGAAGATAAGTTGGATCATTCGCAGGCGGACCGGCCGGTACGAACTGGTCCTGGGAGTTGTAACGTCTTGATTTAACCATTCGCAGGCGGACCGGCCGATTCTCATCCACTTGGATCTTCTTCTTCAATAGCCCCTCGCAAGCTCTGTCTCGAAACGAGATTGAGCTTGTTGAAGAGAAGCTTGAACCGAGCTTTGGGAAGAGCTTTTGTGAGTAGATCTGCGTGCTGATCGGTGCTGGAGATGATGCAGACTCGGAGATGTTTAGAGAGAACTTGTTCCGGAACAAAGTGATAATCAAACTCCACATGCTTTGTGCGAGCATGGAAGATTGGATTAGCTGTAAGATAAGTGGCACCAACATTGTCACACCATAGCGTGGTTGGTGAAGTGAACGGAATTCGCAATTCCGTTAGGAGAGAACGAATCCATAGGAGCTCAGCTATAGTGTCTGCAACGGCTCTATATTCTGCTGCCGTGCTGGATCGTGCAACCGTTGGTTGTTTCTTGGAGGACCATGAAACGAGATTAGTGCCCAAAAAAATGAGGTACCCTCTTGTGAACTGACGATCTGATGGTGAGCCTACACAGTCTGCATTGCTGAAGGCCGTGTGAGAAAGAGATGGACTGTGCCGGAATAGAAGGCCGTGGAGGATGCTGCCTTTCAAATATCGGAGCAGGTGCTTGAGGTTCACCCAATGTTGCGTAGAGGGAGCATGCATTGTTTGACACACTTTGTTGACTGCAAAGGCAATGTCAGGTCTTGTGATTGTTATGTACGGAAGTGCCCCGACAACACTCCGATATACTGATGAATCAAATGAGCCTACATGGTTACTGGATAAAGAGGAGACAAGCCATGGAGTGGCCGTTGGTTTGCTTTTATCCATGTTAATTTGCATTAAGAACGAGTGTATATAATGTGATTGTGAAAGTACAAACCCATTTGGGTGAGGTAAGAATTCAATGTTTAAGAAGTAGTAAGCAGGGCCTAAATCTGTTGGAAAGTCTTCGGACTAGAATTGAGGTGTTGGTTTGTTGTAGGGTAAGAAATTCAGTTTGCATTGCTTTATACCAGTGAGTATTTTTAAGAATAGTGGTATGTGAAATACGTTCTCGATCAACTGAAGCAATTGCGAGCAGACATGTGGGTAATAGATGTTGAATGGTAAGATTGGTTGTCTTGGGATAAAAGTTAGAAAGAGGTTTAATTTTAATGGGGCCACAAGACTCATTGATGGTGAGGCCAATAGATGGGGAAGAGTCTCAGGAATGGTCAAGAATAGAGGGATAAATATTCTTAAGTGGGGCAGTGGGTGTTGATAGAAAATGAGGTAAATTGTTAGTCTAATGAATGAGTATTAGAGGGAGAAGTTATGTTAGGTGTTGAAGATGTTGTCGGGAAGTGGGGGCTGTCAATGGAATTGTAGGTGGTAGTATTTGGGTGAGTTGACTTAGTTGTCATGGAGGAAGAAATGTGTGTGTGAAGAGATGGAATAGAGAGCTGTGTTGATCCAAATGTAATGGGGGCTGACTCGAGGATTCCATCAAAGGGTTTCAAGGGTGGTGGAATATCAGCCAAGTTTTTGTAAGAAAATATGTGTTCATAAAAAATAACATCACGAAAAGTAAAGAGTTTAATTGTGGTAAGGGAGAGACAACGATACCCAAAATAAGATGAACTATACCCTAGAAAAATGCACCTTTCAGATTTAGACATAAGTTTGTTAATGGCATAAGCACGTAGGTGAGGATAACATAAGCACCCAAAAGACTTCAAGAAAGAATAATCAGGTTTGGTTGTATAATGTTTTTCATAGGGATTGGAGAATGGGTTGGCCAGATGCTGTGAGCTCATCACAGATTTCTCAAAGATCTTAAATATAAATATCAAGGGATTGAGTTCCTCTATTGATGGTGTGGAACTTGTTGTATAGATTCATGATCTGAGATTGGCTGCAAGAGGCAAATTTTTTGCATAGAACCTCCCATACTACTTTTGAAGTGTTCTTTCCCACGACAATGAGCAGCATTGACTTGGATAGTGAGGAATTGATCAAGGTTAGGATGCACTAATCACAATTCCATTATTACTGGTATTCCTCACTAACTTGATGTTGACCTTGAGCATGTGTTGTGGTGACTACTAGTAGATCTTTCTCGAGTATATACGTCAGTCCATAGCTATTAAGAATCAGTAATAGCTACATCTTCCAAAGAAGGAAATTTTCACAAGTAAACTTTAAAGAAATGGTCATACCTGTAGAGAGAGTTGTATTCTGCAGTTGTAACACAATAAGGTTGTGAGACTAAGCAGATTTGGTTGCCAATAATGTTGAGAGAGCTTCAGCTATCTTGAATCAAGTGTCATGTTATGATGAATCAAGATGAGGTGATTAAGCCAACTGGCTTTGATACCATGTGAAGAAGATAAGAAAGAGGAAGAAGATGATATAGAGAGAGAGAGAGAATGTAGATAGAAAATGTAGAAATTAAATTACTTTCTCATATATCTATTACAAAGGTATGTTCATCTATTTATAGAAGAATCAAAAGTCCCGTTGGGAGAGTGTTGTTGCAGTCTTCAAGTGGAAACTGTTGTTATAGGAAGTGTAATTGTCGGACGATTTAAACTGGTCATGGGAGTTGTAACATCTTGGTTGAACCATTCCCAAGTGGAGTGACTAGTTCTCATTCATTTGGATCTTCTTCTTAAATACAAACTCTGTACCTCTAGAGAAATATAATAAATAAACACAAAAACAAGTCTCACTGCATCGCAATCCAATCCCTTCTCTAATCCTCATAGTTGTCGAGCTATTTTTGAAGAAATGGCTTCTCGTCGACGAGTAATAACGGATATGGCCAGCAGCACCCACCCTCAGCAAACCTTTGGAGCAGCCCTCCTCTTCTTCTTCATACTGATCACATCCATCATGCGGGCATTGGCAAGTACCCTCACGATATTCGAGGGGCCTAGATGCAGTGGAAAGAGCAAGGACATCAATAGTTGTGGGTGCTTCAACCTCTATGTTTACATTGGCAGCTTTCACTTTGTGTACATGGAGGGGTAGGCAGCCGAGCTTTACGCTTTCTACAACTGTGCCAGCTACGAGCTTCCCGACCGTCTCCACGTGGAGACCTACAGCTACATTGGCAATGAGTACAGCAGCATGAGGATACTTTGTTAACTGGACACGTACTAGATCTTCATCTATTCTTGGTGGGGATGCTAGCAGGTTGAATAATGAAGAAAAATAAGAGGCTGGTGTCACTCCATATGTTGTTATAGTAAGATTATTGAGTGAATAAACAAGTACCATTGAATGTATTATGTTTTGTGTTTTCCCTCGCATTTTGTACCTAACATGGTTTATTAGTGAAGCTAGGGCGATACGATCTATGTACCCCACTAACCAAAGCCTATTTAGTTACTGATAAGTTTTCACTATCTTAAGTTAATAATTAGTAAATAATATAGTTTTACCCTTAACTCGTGATATATAGACTCATATTTGTGTTAAAGTGTGAAAAGAGGTTTTTAGTTGATTAATATGAATTTTGGGGTAATTATGTGATTTTACATGAAATTATATAATTTTTATAGTCTTACTTTTGAGATAAATGATGAAAAAGAAATAAAAAATAAAAATAAGATAAAATGAGGGGGACCCGTTGGCTAGCCAGGCCCGCAAGCGAGTCGGAAGCTCAGTTGGGGAGTAGTTGTGAGTAAGGGCTCAAGCGACCTAGACCGATAGGGGCACATGTGCACCATTCCCCTTCCATGTCACCGGTGGCCAGCGGGCTGCGGGGCAAGGAGTGGTTGTATATGTGAGAGAAGGGATTTGCTTATAAATGAAATAGTAGTATATATTTGCCCGAAACATCGACGCACAACCAATGTAAGACTAAACCTGCATTACCTTCCCCAAAAAAGGGCAGGCAATCGGCATGGGTTCAAATCCTCTTAGAGTCAAAAGTCACATATTTTTATTTGATTATTGCGACTTTCCAACAGATCACCGGTGAAAGATTAAGCGATTAGTATCGCTAGATCATCGACCAAAAGCTCGTCAACATGATTCGTAGAGTATTGCTACTAAAATTACTAAACGATTCGTGATAAAAGAATTGTGAATCCATCGAGTAAATTATCTCCGATTGATTGATGAACAAGCTGTCGTGAAGAAGAGGACGATCCGCTGGGAGATGAGTCGCCACCTCCTGAGAGCATACCAGATGTGATGAAGAGCCTCTACTTGTTGTGCAGACTTGAGGATGAAGCTCCCTGACACGCGCCCCTCCTCCATCCAACTCCTCTCTATCAGGTGACAACCATTGGAGAGCCGCAAAGTCACCATTTTTCCACTTCGTCGGGTGACCGCCGCCGAAGATGATTCGATGACCCATTTCATTCATCTTTAGACTTTGCAAGGAGATCTAGAGATTGCCCACATTGTCTTTGTCCAAAGAAAGCCTTCGAGGCTATGGACACTACACGACGATCCTCCTGAATGCTCAGGATTCTGGTGCATTGCAGACGCATCACCATCGCGACGCCAGAATTTAGTTTTCCTGCTTTCAACTTACTTTACGCTTCATTTAGTGATAATTTGTGTGATTTTAATTTACCAAAATATACTTTGTTCATTTATGATTCTTCCGACTTTTATAGATCTTAATTTAATTAATTAAATTATCTATAATCACTTACGTAAAAATCGTCGGCCAAAACTCTACTTCTACAAGATTTGCGTTTGCCAGGCACTAACATCATCCTAACATCCGCACCATTATTTTTCTTTTTAGTGAATTTTAAATATATTTCCTTTTCATTTCTGAGTATAAAATTCATAGAAAATCATATTCATTAAGAAAAATTATGAATAATTATCAGATATTATATTCCTATGATCAACTTGGAAAATTATTGCTATTTTTGGAAGTTTTATTGAATTAATTATAATTGATATATTTATTCAAAAATACTTCTAAATATCCAAAATTTGTATTTTCTAGTTTTATAAATTTTGATATTTGTCTGATTTAATATACAACGACTGAGTCACATCAATTACCCTATTTTTACTATGATTGTAGTGAAAATATTAGTAGTGTGTCTCATTCATTCTCTTTTTCTCTCCCTCCGACATACATATGCACAGTAGCTAACATAGACACAGGAAGGTGCAGCAAAGTGGAGATGGCCACACTCAGAATGTTCCACCATCATTTTTATTTGAACTCGTAGGTTTGAAATGATAAAAAACACAATATCTACATGCAATATAAATAAATACACCATCAATACCAAAATAGAATGCAGACTTTATTATGTCAACACAAAATGCATACTTTATGGTAGATACATGGAAGAATGATAACCATCATTGTGGTAATGTAAATTTAATATAACACCAAACAAAGCAAATTCTATTGCCTTCTAAGAAGTATTCTAACTATTACATGCAATAAGTTGGACTACAAGGCTCGAATTAACAACCCTCCAAAACAATCGAATTGCATGAGTTGTAAAAGTTTTGGTATAACTGATTTTGGAGATTGATTTTTGCCACAAACTTTGAAGTAGAAAGTTAATGAAAAAATTGTTGTTGGCTTTAGGTATATGATGGTAAAGGCTGTTTGGCTCACTTAGGAGCTTTTTGAGGCTTTACATTTTAGAAAAACACTAGACAATTTGAAAAATGAAGAACATGAGCATTAGATTTGGAGGCATTCAGTAGTATTCCATTCTGTGATTAATAAGTTACGGTTGACAAGCCAATTATATCACTTGTGCTTGTTCGATGGGACAAATTCTTTGGAGCAAATTCCATGTCTCTATTTAGTAAATTGATCTTACAACTTCAAGGAAGATCAAGCACTTCTTTTCTCATCATAATCTCCCTCTTATGATAATTTAGTGACCCGCAGCTTATAAGACCATGTTAGCTTAAAGATCAAGAAGGTAAAATCTGCTTACTTATTAAATAGGTTATGAAATAGCCTTTCATATTGTTGCAATATTTGGGATCAACTGAGATGAACATAATAAGAGGAGAATGTTCTGATCCAATTCAGGAACAGTTAAGAGTAAACCCTTCCAATGGAAGTAAGAAACTTACAGAGGCCAAATTTGTCAATGTGTCAAAAAAATGGCAAAACAAGGGGACCTTAAGAACGATTTTCTGCGTCAAGAAAGAACTCATTCAGCAATTGTGTCTACTAATGTTGTAAGGATTGAAAGATCTCAATATTAAGTGTATGGACGCTTGATGTCTACATAGTTTCTCGGGCCATCAGAGTAGTGTAGAAGAATCCCCTACTTCTACACACCTCCATGGTATGACATATGGGTGACTAACACAGGGGTAGGTTGGAGAACATTTTCAACTCACGTCTAACATTGTCCTATCATTTCACAAAATTTATCACGTGGGAGCTAGCTTGGGAGGGTCAATGGCAACAAGCCACCTATTGTTTATTTATGATAGTGTCGACAAGATTAGGGAGGAAATCTCCAGCAACTTCAAACATGACTTGGTTTTGCCATTTTAGAAGGTCAAGATGATGTAAACAACTCTCGTTTTTCAATAAGGTGGTTGGGGACCTGTTCTTACTAGCCATGTCTTCTGTCGGATAGGGTGGAGAGTTTCAAGATTTAGAAAGAAGTGACTGGGAACTCCAAGGACTGATTCTAGCCTAGTGGTTTGTAGCTCCTTGCCCTTCTCTTCTTCAAGTTTATGGGAGTACATTGAAGCAAAACTTCATAGATTGATGGAAGAAACTTTCTAGATTTATGTGGTCTTGTTGAACTCATCTTCCCTCAAGATAGGTTAGAGGATGTCTTCACATGTTTGTTCGAGATCGGCTTGTTCACATGGCCACAAAAAGGAAAAATAAATTCTTCTTCAATTGTTGCAGGCATATCCACAAGGTCAGCCTCGAAAAAGGTACGTCAACATTATGTTGTTAACTTTCATGGAATCTCATGCCTTAGTTCAATCAGATGTTGTATGCAAGATGTGTTATTAAAAATGAGACACATTGGCTATACTTGGCCTATGAGGTTTTTCCTTCTTTAGTCAAATAAAAGAAACTGTGTTGAATTTGAAATATTTAGTGTTGAGATAAATGGAGAATGATAAAAAATAATGATAATAGAGTAAAGTCATATATGAATTGATAAAGACATAAGTACAAAGATAGCCTTTTGAATTAACATAGAGGAGTCATCTAATGACTTGAGAGATAGGATGCTCTAAGAGATACTCACTATGTGTGACGCAAGTACCATACCACCTATTTATAGACAAGAGGTAGTTAGCCTCTTAGTGTCTTTTTCTAATTTAGCCTATCATAAAATAAAAATAAAACTTGGTCTCTATACATATTCACATTTACGCTCATACTTGCGAGAGAGGTCATAACCTTAATAGTTAAAACTTCAATGAATCACTTTAAGTAAGATTAACTCAATGATAATCTCATAATATACAATTCATATATATAATTATCTACATTGAGATTAAAATTCTAGTAATCTTCTACTTGGACAAAATATATATGATAACTTTATATTGTACATTATGACTTTATGAGTTCAAAATTTTGCTATCATTGCTAAAAACATTACTACAATATCGTTCATCATTATACTAATATAGAATTAAAGGGATTTTGGTCACATTTTTTGCATGATTGAACCTAACAATAATCACATATATCAATATAATGAATGACATAGATTAAATATAAATATAATGCATGAAAATTACATAAAATGTGACTCATACATGTACATTTTTAACTTAGTCCTTATTTCAAATGAAGATCAAACAACCACATTCAAAGTGGAAATAATCATAAACTTTATTCATGTATGAAATAATCAAACTATGTCAATAAATGTATAAGCATCAAAATATAAACTCCTACTAAAATTACATATCTTAATAAGGTATTACACCTATATGAATAATATGATCTTGAAAGACATTTGGTGACATTTTGTCCTAATACGCTCTATAGACATTTGACCACTTTGAACTCTTATCTTAACAATTAAGAACTTGATGTCTATATGTTTAGACTTTGTTAAACTCTTATTGTTATTGGAAAATATAACAGCTGATTTAATGTCACAAAATAATTTTAGTGGTCTTTCAATTCTATCCATAATTTATACCCCTATGACAAAATTCTTCAATTAAATTTCATGATTCGATGCCTCAAACTCTACTGCCATGGTGGAAGAAACTATGAGTATCTACTTAGCACTCTTATATGATATAACTCCTCTAGCTAGTAGGTAGATATAGCCCGTAGTGGATTGTTTGCTATTAGCACATCTAGGGAAATCAAAATTAAAATACTTAATAATCTCCAAAAGATTTGATTTTCTATATGTGAGCATATAGTTCTTTATCATTTGCAAATACTATATAACTTATTTGCTTGATTTCTAATGATCCACATAAGGCTTCTTATGACTAATGCATAAAAAATCTTCTGCATCTCTTTAGCCTCATTTCTTAGGGCACTAATTGAGACAAAATTTGTCTCCTTTAACAACAAGGGTATCATAAGATTTACATCCTTGCATACTAAATCTCATAAGAATTTTCTCGATATAGCTCTTTTGTGACAACCCTAAGATATTTCAAGGGTGATCTTGGTACATCTTTGTCTAACACAAAAGAGGTTTCACCAAGATCTTTCATCTGAAAATTCTTTAACAAAAATATTTTGGTGTCATATAGCAAGCTTATATCATTATTGACATGTAATATGTCATTGACATATAAAATTAGAAATATATATTTACTCTCATTTAACTTATGATATACACATTCATCACTCATATTCATCTCAAAATCAAATGAAATAATAACTTGGATGAAATTTGTGATATCATTGATAGAGAAACTTCCTTCAACTCATAGATGAACTTCTTTAATTTGTATACCATTTTCTTTGGGTCTCCAGACACATGTTTTTAGTTACATCATATGTATTATTTCATCAATGTCACCATTAAGAAATGTTATCTTTATATCCATCTAATGTAACTCAAGATCAAAATGAGCTACTAGTGCCATTATTATTATAAAAGAGTTTTTTGATGAAATTGAAGAGAAAGTGTCTATATAATTGATGCCTTATCTTTGACTAATCTCTTCATAACAAGACGGGCTTTATATCTTTTCACATTACTCTTTGAATCCTTCTTAATTTTAAATATCCCTTTATAACTAATGGGCTTTACACCTTCGGGTAATGGGACAAGATCTCAAAACATCATTGTCCTTCACAGATTTAATCTTTTCATTCATGGCATCAATTCACTTATGAGAATTAGAACCTTGTGTGACTTGATGGAAGTTGATAGGATTATCTTTCATCACTCTGATGTTAGCCTCATATTCTAAAAGAAATACAATGTAATCATCCAAAATTACATTCCTTCTCTCTCTAGTGGATCTTCTTAATGACACTAATTCTCAAGTCCAAGGTGTGACTGGAACAGATGCGACAACAGTGATAGGAATAAGGAAAGATCGATATACGTCTATATTAGATTTCCCCTCTTCTAATGCAGAAACATAGAACATCGAACTCACAGAAGATGGCATGCATCAATGATGTTCGAGCTCTTTCTCACGCGAATGGAATCATTCTTATCCATCTTTCACTCGCCTGGGTCCATGATTCGTCCCACAATGCCAACAGATGTGAATGAAAAAGGACTATAGTTGATACCATGGAATTTGACGAATTTACGTCCCATGCAATGGAACTGAGAATGTCTTTTTCTATTTCAGGCGTTCACAGGGGTTACTGTGTACGATTAGCAAGTTTTCCGAGGTAATTGAAGGCGTACTGCCGAATTAGTTGTGAACCCCGGTGGTACCTGAGGCAGGCTAACTCATGCACCCGGAATACTGATTGAGATGAGGAATTCGTGAGTTTTTCGGGCAAGTTTATTGGAAAATTCAAAACTAGAAGGCCGATGGTTTATCAAAGCCTTGAAATCGCGGAGGTAAGGGTGATCTGCCGCCGCCTGCTGCCACTATTTACCCGAACCAAACTCCACGCTCTCCCGTCACGTCAACACGTGTGTGGGTGAATGGCCCCCATTAACCGTTGCGTTCGCCAAGCAGCTTAAGGCGAGGTCAAGAAAACATTATGTCCTGAGAATTTCGTTATCCTTGTTCGTGACATCTCGTTGAGAAGCGCTGAGAATGAGCATAGGACAGAATGATCTCGTTTAGAGACGGAAACAGAGCCTTAACCGGCTTGCCTTCGCTCTGGGTAAAAGTTTTTCTAGGATATTTAAAACGATTATCTCTTGACTGTTTTCTCACGACTCAGGTCAAATGAATTGAAGGATCTACAGAGATTTATATTTGAAGTGTTTCCGCCTAAGATTCCATTTAGCAAGGTGACTTTACAGTGTTCTCGTCTCCTGAAACACCGAGAAATCTCTTGTACCTCTCCATTGATTGGTTCATTTAATATGTTTTCTTGCTCTATGTCGTTCGAGTGACCATACGATAGCCAACTATTCTATTCGGTCAATCATAAACCGTGATAAGAATAATTTTCTGACGTGATAAAAATCAGGGTATCCTATCAGCGGTTTTCTCAAACGGCTGGATCCTTCTCGTTTTCAATTGGGGGTGATTTATCTTAGATAATTTAAAATCTATTCATTTTATCTTTAATTCTGTGGAATTATCTGCTAGAATTTATAGTTGTCAGCCTTTCCTCATTTCCATCCACATCAACCCATTACTCACAGAAACCTCAATTAGCTCTGATCACCAGGGCTAGTTGTGTGACGGCAAAACAATCGTAAAATTGTCAAAGGCTTGCTTGCTCATTTATTCAAGGTAACTTCCGCTGGTCAGTCAACCCATGGGTACATTACTGACTGGCGACTCCCGCAGCGCCGTCAGCTTTTTATTTACTCTGGGTACTGTCTTGCGCAGAACTCGTGGAAGCACTCGCTCAGCAGCTCATATAGATGCTCTTGAAGTTGTTGGGTTTGCATCGGCGGGTCTCCTTGTAGAGGGAGACGTAGGAGCCATCGCAGTGGGAGCCCCTGTACAGCGTGGCGGCCTGACCCTCGGTAAACACGAAGTGGTACCCTCCCTGATAGCCGCTGATGTCGAAGCACCCACAGCCGTTGACGTCCTTGGTTCTCCCGGCGCACCCGGGACCAGAGAACGCGGTCAGGGTACTGGCGGACGCCGGCGCAACGGCGGCCGCTATGACGAGCAGGAGGAGAACGGCAGCCGCTGCGGCCTTGCTGGGTGCGGTCGCCATATCTTCTTAATGAAAGGAGTGGGTGGTCTCTGACTGCGGGATTGGCAAAGGAATGGAGATGGAGCGGTGAAGAGTCTCTGGTTCCTGCTCGTGTCCTCTTTATAGCCGGTATCTGGGGCCTGACCAAGTCCTGGGATACATTCAACATCGTCTGCCGTTTCGTCGTCAAAGAAGAAATGAAAACGTGGTCTTCGCCGCTTTCAGTTTTTGTTTACGTCTTTTCTTTCCAATGGCGATCCGACGCGGCTTGTTGAGAAGGCTCGGTGTTTGCCGCAGTAGCGTCATAGTTGTGGCTTCCTCGAGCTTCTCGCCGGGGTTTTGTTGACCTTGACCTCGTCGCAGATGTCCGCGGAGGCAATAAGGATGGAAAAGGGGTGGGTGGCGCATAATCCACCGGGGCCTCGTTTTCCGTTTTCCTCCGTTGACACCTTATTCCTTCCGGTTTTCATTTAAAGTTGACAACGAAGTAAATCTCACGCTCCTTCAAAATATTTCCGTGGGAGAGTTTGCCCGTTCGACGGATTAGGCAGCGCCTTCTTAACAGAGCATGTCGGCGAACCCAACTTGTCCACATTGGGCATTCTGAGCGCAACGGCCGAAACATTATGTAAGCGCTCCGAATCGCTCCCACGGAGGACAGGGCTGATGACAGCAGCACATATACTTTTAGGGATCGCATCTGTGGTCGAGCTACTTTAATCACGGCTCACAGTTTTTCATGGAGCAACTATTTTCAAATGGCCCCGGCGGGGACTGCTCTAAGCTGTCACCTTGCCTACAATTGGAATTTGTTACATTGAGCTCGTCGGGGGTTCTCCTGTCTTAACCTGCGCACCTGGCCCATTCTTTTCAGCGGAAAGAGCCACGTTTTAGCTCGTGGTCCCTCGCTTAACGGGCAGGAGTCCGTTTACGGCATCCTGTCCATTTTTGGCTCTGTATTAGTCTGCTTTCCCTCAGGGAGCGGCGCGGCGGGAAAGAAGACGACGAGCCAGTAAAACGAGAGAGCATGTCCGCCTGCTCAAGTACCAGGAGGGTGGAAAGCCACTGGGGTTTGAGCGGCAAAGGGAAGGAGGCTGCGTCCTTGGGTTTTTACTGTGCCACTAAGCGCAAGCTATAATAGTGGAGCGAGAGAAAACGAATGTGGGAAGAAGACAAGTGTCTAACCGGAGCATAATTCTCTCCACGAGAAAATCAGATTAACAGCATCTGTCTTGTTGGATCGAGCGAAAGTCTTATTACTATGAGCATGGTGATGTAATAACTGATGGGGGCGAGAGGGGGGCGAGAGGTCTTGAACCTCTAGAGAATTAGGCGCCCCCAATAGATGATTATGATTAATAACTGATTCTTTTAGTGGACGGCTCAGATTCTTCCATGAGGACGATGCTCTAATCCTCCTCTTAATTTTGTCTTAAGGCACCCTAAGATGCGTGGCTTAAAAAGCACGATGCAGTGACGAGCTTGCGAAGGTCGCAGAAGAGATTCACAACGTCGCCTGCGTTCGTTGAAACGTAGAAGATTGACAAAAGGAACAGAAAAGGTCATTATGCGAGGAAAGATCTGCAACGTAAGCCCAGTCAACAGAGGGTTAAATAATCGAGCGAAGCCAATTGCCTGTCGATGTTGAATTTGTCACAGGACTTGGTCAGGGCCCGCCCCCAGGGCTATAAAAAGGACCCGGGGGAGACCGTAGAGCTCCTCACCGTTCCACCTGCAATCTTTCGCCAATCCCGCAGCCACAGCATCCCCAATCCTCTGCTAAGCCCTCTCAGAAGAAATGGCCATGACCAGCAAGGCCGCCGCAGCCGCCGTTCTCCTGCTGCTCGTCGCAGCTGCCGCCATTGTGCCGGCGTCGGCCAGCACTCTGACCGCGTTCTCTGGCCCGGGGTGCGCCGGGAGAACCAAGGACGTCAACGGCTGTGGGTGCTTCGACATCAGTGGGTACCAGGGAGGGTACCACTTCGTGTTCACCGAGGGCAAGGCTGCGACGCTGTACACCGGCTCTTACTGCCAGGGCTCGTCGGAAGGCCTGAAGAAGGAGACCCGCCGTTGCAGCCGCAACAGCTTTAAGAGCATCTATATGGTCTGCTGAACGCGCTCATCAAGCGTGGAATTTGGAACCAAGCCGCATTGGTTGCCCTGACGAAGTGGCACGTCCGACTCCCACACGCGCCACTATTTTACTGATTAGCATGTATCAATAAAGAATTTTAGTAAATAAGGCACGCCGGGTCTCCTATTATCACAATTTCTTCCTTCTACCTAAGTGGGTATCCTGTCGGCCGCATCATGATTGGACCAACCAGGAGATTTAACACGTTTCTCGAGAAGCTTCTACGAGTTTTATGGAAGGAGAGCACCATATGTTCAAGATTTTTACTGATTTGAAGAGTGCGAAACTCATTTTAACAGCTACAGGGACTTCAACAATGGGATTGCCCGCAGTTTTTAGGTTAATACCAGCCAAATGCTGCTAGTGGATGCGTTCCAACCGGTAATCCCTCCGTCAAAGTGAAATGCCAACCTTTTCCGGAGTAACGACCTTTGCGATGATTTCTCAAAGATAGAATCTACAAAAATGAATTGCTCAAGCTCCTAACACAGGTTCCTACCCGTGCCTCACATCATAACCGTGTTGCGCCATCCGCCAACTCAAAGGTAACGGTGGGTGGCCGACATCATCAGTCTGATATAAGAGTGGGAGGCCGATATAAACTGTCCTACACTGCTCCATCCCTTTGTTTTTGGGGACTTTGACCCACAGAGAATGTCACATCGACCAGACATGCTCAACTTGGAGAAATCGCTCAAAAGATGTGTAGAAGTCACAAAACGTGATAACCCTTTGACCCCGGACAGAAAACCTCCAGACGGTTAAACTGCGGTAAAGTTATGTTAAGACTCTGACCCTCTCCCTCATCATCTTCGCCAAGAACCGCCAGGCCTTGCCCACTGCGTCCCCCAGCCCTTTCGGTCGCTATTTTATCCTCTCCTTATAATGCATTGGCCCTCTCCCTTGCAGTAGCATTGGACAAAACCTTTCAACGGATTACATACCTTGCTGTCAACGATATAATTTAAAAATGGAATTTCATGTAAATTTGATGTTAATAATAATTTTTTGATTGTGCCGTTATTTCTATGAGCAACAAAGATGGAAATAACTTTAGATTAAATTCACATTTAATCATGAAGGGTATTTGAAAATCATATCACAAAGGGTACATTGAAGTATGTTTATGGACGATAGAGGACAACACTGGAAAATACTCGTAGCCCCTGGGAACTCATCTTACTTTATTAGATGAGCCCTCGTGGTGGGGGACAGAAGGTGAACGCTTGGCAAGAACGCAGAAGGGCGTTTGGAACTTGCGGGTGCTATCGTGGATCCTCTTTCCTGTTAAGATTGAACTAAAGCGTAAAGGATTCGTGTCCTATGGTCGTGCCTCCCATAAGGCTCGGTGTTCGGCGCAGTTGCGTCATAGTTGTGGCTTCCTCGAGCATGTCGCCACGTCAGGGTTTTGTTGACCTTGACCCGTCGCAGATGTCCGCGGAGGCGACGAGGATTGAAAAGGGGTGTGTGACGCGTAATCCACCGGGGACTCGTTTTCCGTGTTGCCCCGCTGACACCTTATCCGTTCCAACTCTCCGCTAAAGTTGACAATGGATAAAATGTCTCGCTCCTTCAAAATATTTCCGTGGAAGAGTTTGACCGTTCGACGGAGTAGACAGCGCCTTCTTATCAGAGCACGTCGGCGGACCCGACTTGTCCACATTGGGCATTCTGAGGGCAGCCGCCGAAACATTATCCCAGCGCTCCGAATCACTCCCACGGCGGACGGGGCTGATGACAGCAGCACAGATACTTTTAGGGATCGCGTCTGTGGTCGAGCTTCTTTAATCATGGTTCGCAGTTTTCCACGGAGCAACTATTTTGCAAATGGCCCCAGCAGGGACCGCTCTAAGCTGTCACCTTGCCTACATTGGCAGTTCGTTACATTGAGCGCCTCGGAGGTTCGCCTGTTTCACCTGGGCGTCACAGCCCGTCCGTCGAAAGAGCGACAGATTTCAAGATTTTGTTTAACTCGAAGAGCTTATCGTCAACTAGTAGCAGCATTCTCAAATACGACTATCTAGAAGCGTATGATGCAACTTGTCTTATAAGTGTTGACTGTATACAAAAAGGGTTGTGAAATTTGGAATGCCATTTTAAGGAGTGGTTAAACAATACAATTAAAAAATCATTCTTGAAGCTTGTTATGAGAACTTAATACATGCTTGAGCCAATTACTTCCATTTTAAATCATTAATATATTAAAATATAATAAATATAATTTTTATCACGATTTGTCCGGATTTATTTTTTATTTCCATTCCTAGGGAACTAACAATGACCTAAGTTGGGGGGTGTGATAATATGCCATTTTTATTTGATACATAGTCCATAATTGGTATATTTGGTGCATTAGTTCATGCTAAATGATATAGATCTAATGAAAAATGAAATAAAGCATATTTTAGATTAATTACATGAAATACATGCTAAATGTGTACTTTTTACAAAAATTTATTTGATATTTATATCTTGAATATTCCCTCTTATATGTTAGTATACTTTACATAATATTTTTATCATTAAATCTGTCATTATTAGGACCAAAATAACAATTTAATACTTGGAATTCATTCTATTAAATAAAAATATTTTTTTCTAAGTTATGATTATTTTTCAGAATATTTTTGGAATATACGTTAATTTATATGAATATTATGAGCCCATTCAAATCGTATTAAGGTCAATTGTGTCACTTATTGCATTAAGTTAAAATGATTTGGGAAATGGGCAGAAATGAGTGAAAACTGTCCGAAAACTGCATAAAACAGCTAGAAATAGACAGAAAATTTGATAAAAAGTGGGCAAAAACACAAATGGAGAAATAGAAGTTGATCCTCACTAAAATAAAATTGTTTTTTAGAAAGTTGATTCCTCATTGGTTATAATGGATTCTAGAACTAGTGGGAATATAAAAAGTTCTTATTCAAGGCAAAAAGGGAGCTTTTTCCTTCCTCTTTATGTTGGGTAACAAATGGCAATTTTCTTCCAATTTTTCATTAATTTCTCATTTTATTTTTGATAAAAATACAATCTATATAGTTCTAAATTCATTTTTTTGATTCATTTAAGAAGTCATAAATGTAACAATTACTCAAACTTCACTTCTATCCTACATATCTCTTCTTATATTTTTTAGTAAAAATTACATAAATAATAACAAAGACAATATTAATCTTCATAAAAGCTCAAATCATGATGAAAAAAAACTGACTCTTGAGGATGAGTGATATCTCATCAATGTTCCACATTCTTATTTAGTTTTCATGAAATAGAACCCTTTCCACACGTAATGGCATAGTAAAAATATCATCATATAATTAATTAAAAAATCAAAAGCTGCATTTCATATCAATTTAAACAATCAGGATCTTGATTGAAGAAGCTATCCTTTAGCAATTTCCATTCCAACCCAAGAGTAAAATATTACCCAACCATCATGCCTATCTGAAATTTATTTATCATTAATTTTGAAAGTTCTTTACACATTTTCTAAGTTATTGGCTCAAAAAAATTATAGATTTTAACTATTAATATGTGATTATTGATGTGACTTAGTCGTTGTATATTAAATCACGCAAATATAAAATTTATAAAACTAGAAAATATGAATTTTCAGATATTTAGAAGTATTTCTGAACAAATATATCAATTATAATTCAATAAAACTTCCAAAAATAATGGTAATTTTCCAGGTCAATCATAGGGATGTAATATAATATCTGGTAGTTATTCAGAATGTTTCTCAATGAGTACGATTTTATATGAATTTTATACTACAAAATGAAGAGGAAATATATTTAAAATTCACGAAAAAGGGAAATAAGGGTGCGGATGTCAGGATGACGTTAGTGCCCGGTGAACGTGAATCGGGCGAAAATAGAGTTCTACTCGGCAATTCTTACGTAAGCGGTTATAGATGATTTAATTGATCAAATTAAGATCTATAAAAGTCGGAAGAATCGTAATAAAATAAAGTATATTTTGGTAAATTAAATTCACAAAAACTATCATTAAATGAAGTGTAAAATAAGTTGAAAGTACGAAAACAGAGGCATCGCGACGGCAATATGTCGGCAATGTATTGGAATCCTGAGTGTTTGAGAGGATTGTCGTGCAGCATCCATGGCCTCGAAGGCTCTCCTTGGACAAACACGATGTGGGCAATCTCTAGATCTTCTCGCGAAGTCTAGAGATTAATGAAATGGGTCGTCGAGTCGTCTCTAGTGGCTGTCACTTGGCGGAGTGGAAAAACGGCGACTTTGCGGCTCTCCGATGGTTGTCACCCGATGGAGAGGAGCTGGATGGAGGTGGGGCGCATGTTAAGGAGCTTTATCCTCAGGTCCGCACAACAAGAGGAGGCTCTTCATTGCATCTGGTACACTCTCAAGAGGTGGCGACTCGTCTCCCAGCGGATCGTCCTCTTCCTGACGATGGCTTGTTCATCGATCAATGGAGATGATTTACTCGATGGTTTTATGATCCTTTTATCACGAATCGTTCTACAATTTTAGTAGCAATGCTCCACGAATCACATTGACGAGATTTTTGCCAATGATCCAGCGATTCTCATTGCTTAATCTTTCACCGATGATCTGCAAGAAAGTCGCGATAATCAGATAAAAATACATGACTTTTGGCTCTAGAAGGATTCGAACCCATGCCGGTTGTCCGCCCCTTCTGAGGAAGGTGTGACATGGGTCTAGTCCCACATCAATTGTGCGCTGATTTTTTAGGTGAATATATAGTAATGTTACATTTCTAAACAAAGTTTCTTCTCTCACATGTACGACCACTCTTTGTTCCACAGTCGGCTGGCCACTAGTGACATGGAAGGGGAGTGGCGCACATGTGCCCCTATTGGTCCAAGCCGCTCGAGCCCCTTCTCACGGCTACTCCTCGACTGTGCTTCCGACCTGCTTGTAGGCCCGACGGGTCCCCCCCTTTTTACAATATTTTTATTTTTATTTACCTCAAAAGTAAGACTGTAAAAATCATATAAAATCACATAATTACCCAAAAATTCGCATTAATCAATTAAAAACTAATTTTCATACTTTAACATAAATATAAGTCTATTTATCATGAGTTAAGGCTAAAACTATATTATTTACTAATTATTAACTCATGATAATGAAGACTTATCAATTATCAGCTTCCTTCTAAAAATGTATTATATCAATACTTTTTTATATAAACTTATATTGAATTAAATAAAATTTTATTTTCAAGGGAGGAACAAAATATAGAAGTGTATGGAGTTAATGAAGCATTGATACTAGCCACCAATTGAAGCATTGTCTCTAGCCACTAAAGAGAAAGGGTTTTCTATGCCATTAATTTCGTCTCTCACTCTTTCTCTCTCCTCAAGCTCTCTTTTAATAGTAGTACTACAAAGGGGGCTAGACTGGTTTTATACTTGAAACCAGTCTTAATCAAAGACATAAAGGTGGAATGAGGTCTGGACAGACCTCTCTTAAAAAGGGTTGACCAAGTTACATTCACAAATCTTCACTTTGACTTGGTCAATGTGAACTTCTTCAAAACTTCATATTGAAAACTTCATAAGCTCATCATGGGTGCAATAGAAAATAAAAATGTTATATCTTCTCCAAGCAAGAGGTTAATTTCAAGTGCTATGAACTTTGATTAGGTATCAAAATTCATTTTTATGCTTAAGTATCAACACCCAAACTTTTCAGAAAACAATCATCAATAAATGATAGAAAATATTGAGCACCTCTTTTTGAAGGGACACAAGGACCACAAAGATCAGAGTAGACATAATTAAGAGTACTTTTCATCTTGTGAATTTTTATTCAGAAGCTCACTTTGTTATGATTTCTTAAGATGTAATGTTCACAAAATTCAACTTTACTAGTACTTTATCCACAAAGTAAGCCTCTCTTGGTCAATAAATTGATTCCTTTTGATGGGGTCAGTGGCCCAAGCATCCATAGATGCGATGGGTCTCAATTGGGTTTTAACATGGATGCAGATTCTATTCAGCCCAATTTAGACCAAGGAATGGCTAACCCGAGAAGGGATATGCGCCTGGACAAGACCCATTTTCAAAGGAAAGGATGGGCCCAAGAGAAAAGAATCTCCTCCCCTTCCTTTTCTCTCTCTCCCAACCAACTTTTTATAACACTTGTAGGGGAGGCATCCATAATACCCAGGCAACCTTTCGGAGTGTGACTCATGGGATTGAAGACGAGCATCCAGCCCTTGATCAAAGAAGAAAATTATAAGGATTAGAGGATTCCACGAGGCATTCATTGAGAGGGTCAAAAGCATTCATTCGGAGGGTCAAAGATGCTAAGGCAGTCAACTAGGAGCTATCAACCACCCAACTTCTATGTGAAACTTTTCATCTCTCTCATAAATACCCCTAAATTCATTTATTAAAAGGGAGATTTCATGTATTACCTAACTTCTGTATGTCAACATTACGCATGGTATCCGCTGAGTTGGCCGTGTCTCCAGGATAGTGCAGAAAGAGTCGCCTCCTTCCGTCAGCTTCCAACCGACGTAGACGGTTTTTACGGGAAAAAGATCCTTCTGAATACCCTAGAACGACGTAGGGGCGACAGGCAAAAGTGTAGATGTGGATAATGTTTTGCCGCTCGCGGTCAACCACCTGTCGTTTCACGGATGTTGCCGCCCGGGAGTAAACTCTGAAGGCTACGCGGTAACGAGCCGCGAATCATTTCACGGATTGGTGTTGACGAGATACTTCGGGTATGGCATTCTTTAAACATGGTTAGGATGAAGTTAATAGCCAATTAATACGGGTCCTTGCACCCGGAATGAAAGTTCGTGCTTATTTATTCCCGTTTTGTGGACATAACAGTAGATACAGACGTAAATATTTTCGATAAGAACTTTCCAAATAGAAACCAGGCTATAGGCTGAGATAGATAGTAGAGACGAGGACAGAGCTACTATTGGTCATATATCTCGTCTCAGATCATCGATCACGCGCGATCTTCACGCCATATTCGAACTGTGAACTGCAGGGGACGGCACACAGCGCAGCACTGCTGAAGCGGCAGATCTTGTAAGGTCAAAACAAAACAGGATTACTCAACAATTATTACACTACGAAATCATCCGTGCGTGAACAGATATCTGGCAGATCACAACAAGTGGCTAAGTAAAAAAAGGACAAGTGGATGCAAGGATTAGAAGGTAATAATGAACGACTTAAATGAGCGGCGTGCCATGCATTCAAATCCCTATCGGCTTCGTATCTTCTTGGTGATGGGATCAGAGGAGAAGGTTGACGTCTATCACTGATGGCAGAATATACAAAATAATCCGTTGACAATTGCGACGACACGCGTAGTTCTTTCTGTCCCATCCAACTACTTACAGTAAATTTCACGGGTCGGGCCCAGGGCACTACTAACTATAAATAGAACTTTATCAAACGGCTACAAGCAACCCCCTTCCCCTCTGACGTGCCCCAAAGCTCATATTCTCAGGTCCTCCCGTTGCCTCCTATAGGATATGGCAACCGCCTGCAAGACTTCGGTTGCAGCGGCAGCTGCCGTTCTCCTGTTGCTCATCGCAGTCGCCGTTGCCCCGGTCTCAGCCAGCAATTTAACGGCTTACTCGGTAGTCGGCTGCACTGGGAACAATATAACTTGGGGATGTGGCTGTTACAACTTCACAGGCTACAAGGGAGGCTACTTCTTCAACTACACGGCGGGCCAGGTCGGCCTGTTCTACTTTAACACAGGCTGCCGTGGCCTCTACATTCCCGTCTTCTTTCGCGTTCGCTACTGTTGGTTCCACATCTTTAACAGCGTTAAGATACTATGCTAAGCGTGATCTTGTTCTGTGTGTCCTATCCACTAATCTGACTTCGAGTTAGTGGTCTTATCGTGTACTTAAAGAACCCCATAAATACATCCTATGAAATAAAGGATCACGGCAGCCGTCTACTGTTAAATTAACATAGTTTCTGTCCTCATGAACAGACTACAGGCGTGTTTGCCTCATTCCAGGGATCGGTTTTGCGTAGTGCTTTTGAGCAATATCACTCGATTGCTTTCGACGAAACACGATTGACCTGACCTCTTGGCTGGCCAAGATGATCTGGTGGGCTCACCAGATCGTACGCGATGTCCAAGGCTTTTTCCTCTTCGGTAAAAGAAAGCTCACTTTTTTTCTTGGGTTCTATGGGCTTCTCTGGCGAATACCGTCCAAGCATGCTTTTCCGATTTCAAACACAGGCTTTCCCAATGCATCCTGGGAGATGGGCCGCAGTCTGGTTATAAGCTACAGTTATTAGCCTAGATATAAACATTTCCATTCGATCTTTCCCATAATCATAGGTACTGCCATCAAGTTCATCAAGCCAACCTAACGTTGACGGAGTTAAGCTCAGACATCTAATGGTTTTATCAATCGAGGTGGCAAGCGGCTACAAGTAAAGAGGTATCAATTGAAGCATAGCTTCTACTCATGGATGAAACAAAGATAATAAAGTGAATTTCTTACCAAAGTTGCATCGTTTAATCTTTGATTATAGCGTAACAGATTTCGCAGCATAGCCCCTATAAATAGAATAGAATGAAAGTCAATTTGGTATTATAGATTCATGGTTTTTAATTTTGAAATATACTCAATAAATGTCTCTAGGATTGTCCTGATGGACGGAGAAATTATCTATCTTACAGAGTCAAATCTTGGCAAGATCGTTTGCCTATCCTCACTCCAACGGTCGTCACCTGGCACCTTGTCACTACGTTAAATTTGTTTTTGACAATTTTTGAAATCTTCCCTAACTAAAAATAAATTCTAAACGGGTAGTTTTGTGACAAATCTTTCACCATTCTGCTTCTAGTTCAAGAAATTCTATTTTAATAAAATTGCAATCTAAAACATCTTTACTTAATTGTGCGGGTAACATTGTCCATACGATCTAAACCTTATGTAGACCATTTGAAACCTTTTACGATGCTTGTAAAAGTTTCTGTTCGGAGATCGTTATCATTTTCGAAGAAACCAAGCGAACCAATTTTGCCTACAGTAAGCTTATTGCTCATCATTTCAGCTTGGGGAAATCAATGATTCTGTCGGAGTCTTTCTATGCTTGTACCTGTTTTATGTGAGGGGGAGTAATTTTACTCTTCTGTACCTGTTGATGATCACTCGACTCCACCATCCTGTGGATGCACTTGGTGTTGTTGCCCTTACACGCACATTTCAGAATACATCTTTCGAGAAAATTCGGTATCCAGGCAAGCTTCAAGATGCTAACGGCATAGCTTTCATGTATGATGAAGGTGGACCCCATGCGTACTTCTCCTCGGTTCACTAAATTAGTTCAATGAATTGTTTACCGTATCCTCGCGCTAAGGAACAAATGTCGGCCATTTTCCGACGTTGAAATTCCCATTATTTAATGTGGAAAACACTCTGAGCAGGACTCTGAGCTAATTAAGCTTAATGGGATTCGTCTAGTTCTCGAATAACCTAACAATCTTAAATCGACACTGAACGGCAGTATATGACACCCAAAAGGAACTGAAGACTCGATGAGTGACCAACTTAATTCTGACTGAAGTCTCACGATTTGGGTGACTTCCATTTCATGGGTACAATAAAATGTTCTAAATCGAGCAGACTCCTTAAACGGTGAGATTTGTTAAGGGCTAATACGTGAGAAGAAACCTAGTTATCTAAAGTTCATAAACGTAAAGAATCTTTGGGACTTTGGGATATTGTTACATGTCCTAAGAACTACCGTCGAATGGAAGTGGCTAATGCAAAAATAACCTGCCATTCTCCAGATCTCCGCTTTATGAAACTACCGTCGGGGAAGCAACGTGATGTTGATATAATTTAGTGACAGTCGAAAATTATGTAGAGCGCACTAATAGAAAATCTGGATGCAGCCCACGGATAAAACCCGTCGTCTAGAACAACGTTGTCATTTTCTAGCTTCATGTCGATCAACCATGCAGCATTTCTTCTCTAAAACTGATGACGATTTTCTGTGAATTGTGCCCACTAACGTCGTAAGGAGCGAAGGATCACAAAAATTACGTGTAGATACGCATAGTATCCGCTGAATAAGATACTTTAGAACAGTGGCAAGTTTATACGGGAAAACTACCCTGTGAGTAGCATTGTATGATGTAGGTAGGAGTGACACATGGCGTGTATAACATTTGCCGCTCGTGTCCAACGTACTATCTGTAGACGCTGAATTCAGATGAGAAGGTTAAGCGGGAGCTAGCTGCCTGTCGTTTCACATATAGCAATCTTCATAAGATTAAAAAAGGAAATCTTGAGGTTCTTCGATTATGACTTGCTTCGAAGGAGTTAGAAGATTAGGACAAAGTCAATATTTTTCGTTCTTACATGAACTTCTGTGCAGACTGACAAATACCTTCGGATGCTGATTTACTCGTGAAGGTAGTTTTGATAACCGTTCGTTTTTATGCGATGCCAGTAAGAAACCGCGTACAAGTAAACGAACTGGTTTTCCGAAACATAGCCCAACATAGTAGTCCTCAACTGAAAATATAAGAAAAATCATGTACTCTGAGCCTACGGCCCAGAAAAGCTTTTCGTCAGTTTCGTCAAGGGAGTTATTGGATGGCATGTTTTAAAAAGCAATCACGAACATTGTTCGTGTACTTGTAGACGCAGCTCACTAATCCGTGACTCATACTTTATTCAACAGATTTCACAAATGCAGTCAACAATCCACATCAATGACTGAAATGGTACATATTCACAGAACTCCCTGGTGCTTCATGAAATTTGGAAGGAAAGGAAAAAGTAGTAGTAAAGAGATGGCCGAGACAATGAAAACAGTAATTTGTTTCCTGCTTCTAGATCAGTTGATAGCAATGGCCATTTGGTCCACCAGTAAGGTTCTAAGAATGTCCGCGATCTTATTTGGACGAACTTCATTCCGAGCGATATCTCAACCGGGTAAAAGGGTAATGCCCGAACACCCTCAGATTGTCCGAGATTTGTGGCTAAATTCTCGTATATTGCAAAGAGTGGATGATAAATTTATTCCCGTCAATACCAATTTGAATCCAATGCAACTTGAATTGACGGACGAGCTTGGTTTCGTAAGATGGAATGGAGGCACACTGAATAGCCCGGCCATTATAATGAACTAATAATAGGTGTAGCAAATTTTTGGTTCACCACACTTCACACAAAGAGCTTTGCAATCAGCTGACTTGATCGCCAATATTTTATCACGCAAACTTCTGCAAAGAGCTGCTGGGTTTCGGAGCATCCTCATTTCTCCCTTTTAATACAGCGAAAATTTGATGCAAACTGCAACACGAGAGAGGGGGAGGGAGAGAGTGGCGATATGCGGAACACCAGATTTGCGTTCAGGGAAACCAGCTATGCCAACAGTCACACACTGATCAAGCGTCCTTTAAGGAGATCATCTTTTACAGCCCTGCAGCGCCAACACAGCTTTGCACGTCTTAACCCACTGAGATGGCGGTGCTTCCACTCTGTTCTTACTACGGGCTAACAGCCTGTTTTCCTATTCGGCTATAGGAAATATACGAGGGAAGAAACCATTCAGTATTCTTATGAAAGTTTCCGGCTCTAAGTAAGAAGAATATACGCTTCCCAATAAGGTAATCAGTGCCAGCTACCTGAAGCGTAACGGAGCTTTTTTCATTCGATTCCGATTTGGCGGAATTCTAGAAGCTGGTAGGCCTCCGTGTTGCTCAGTTCGAACTTGTGGTAGACTTGTGGCTGTTGCAAAGACAATAACCATGTCAATCTCACTGCTTATTGATCCTTCACCATTTTTTCTCTACCCCTTTAGTCCGGTTTTTCTCAGCCCCAGTTTATCCCTATTAATTTCAAGTTATATTTAATCCCAATAAACAAATCAATTTCAACTTAAATTTAGGCCTAGTAACAAAAGCAATTTCAACCAAAGTTCCAAGCCCAATAATCAAACTAATTTTAACTTAAGCTAAATAATCATATCAACTTAATTAAAATGAGACCCAACAATTGCGTCAATTAAATTTCTTTTAAACTGAAATGAATGAAAAATGATAAAAAACTTCTAAGCTTTTATTAATTTTTAATTTTTGAAATATGGATTATCAAGTTATTATAACATCTTAAAAAAAACTAGAAATATTTATGACTGTCATACAAATAAAGTTTGAAATTAACACCGACTTATGAGACTTTAATGGTCCCATATGTTGTGATGATTATTAAAATGCTGATCAGATGCAAACAATTTCACCCCTTCACGATTATGAGAGAAAAATTTAATAGCAGAAATTATAAACATGTAGATCAACATATGAATACTTTGTTACACGTTTCTCCATCTCAGTTTAATATTGAATATATCATCTTTGATTAATTTCTCCCCTTAAGTCTATTTACATTTATATGTTTTCTTGAAAATTGTTTTATATCATCTAGTTCCTGCATGTTTAGCTTGAAACTAAAAAAGTATGGATCTAAGGATCATAGATTGTGAATTTCATTTGTCAGCCATAGAATGAATATGAATTTCAAGATTGTATTTCCATGAGTAACGTTCTAGGAAGTTTCTAAAGAATTTCATTGATAGAATGCAAAAGGAGTTTTCATTAAAAAAGGTTTGAATAGAGTCTAAATAGTTGGATAATAATTCTAAATTAAAAGTATTATCCCAATAAATTTTCATAATGCAAATACAGTTGCAAGAGTGTTGGAACAGTAAGATTGGGTTTCGAGGATTTTTTGATTTTTTGATTTATGCTCGACCAATGTGTATTTGATGTTGACTGTGTCAACAGGTGTAACTCGTTAGATCTCTCAACTTTCTCTCACCATGAGCTCTAGGATCAACTAGTTTGCTCATCACCCAGCAACTTCTAGTCGCAAAGGGAAATTCCCTCCAAGATTTACTAATTCCCTCAAAATTTACACACAGACATTCAACGGCTCAACATCCCAAGCACCTAAAGTTTGTCTCCTCAAAGACTCAGCCCCTCCAAGGTCAAATATGATTATCAACACTTCATGCCTTCACCCAAACCCTTCTTACATTAACACCCAATCACCTTAGGCCTAATGGAGAGTAAGAATGGTGTTGATTATTTCACCAAAATTAGCTGGAGAAGTGTATGTACCTTTCTTGCATGTCATTGATACATACAGCCAGAAGAGATTTATTGTATTGCATGAATCTTTATTTTTTTAATGAACCTCTAATACATAAAACTTCTTCCATAAGTCAGCCTTCTTCCTTTAATAGATTTCTGATTTTACCAGATCTCCTACGTTTGAGAACCTTGCTCGAAAACTTCTATTTTTCTGTGAAGCCCAATACTGATCTTTGAATCATCCAAGGTTTGAACATCCTCAATCTTTCTTCCTTTCTCGTTCAAATTTGAGCAAAAGTGTCCTAACTTGACAAAAAATAGTTGAATGCTGACGTTGGATCTGAATCACTTAGTTTACTTTTACCTTTTATCCATGTACATAGTGATGTGTCACTATCAAGATGTTCTGTTTGAAAGTTGAATATCTCTTTCATTTTCTCCTATTTTTGATGATTTAATGAAGTTGAGATCATAGGGAACCCCTCTATCATCATTATGAAACACTAATCATTACATAATATACGATAAATATTTATAATCAAACATAACAGAATTCGTATGCTTTGACTATACCAATTAATCATATACATATCATTTAATTTAAAATAATTCTTCAGACGATATCATTTATTGAATAAATGTTCATAACGTGAAGAATGAATTAATCTCAAGCACGGATAAATGTAAATATCATTTTTTATATTTATGGTTTGATCGTTAGTGATAAGCCTATATAATAGATCAAAATATTTTATATATTGACCACGTGAATGAATGTATCTAATGTTTGGGACATTTCTGTCCCATATACAAATAAATATAAATATTCAATGATAACTTCACTAATAACTTTTTTCATCATTATCAAAACCCTAGACATTAACAAAGAGGATTCAAATTGGATAGATGACTTTCTTCAATGGGTAACAAATGGCGAGATCCTTGGCTTGTTGCCCATTTTCCCTTTAGGTTTTTTCCTCTTCTCTACCGTCAGCATTTTACCTTTTGCTTTTTACTTTAGGCTTTTTGTCTTGCTTTTTTTAATTATCATACAATACTATAATCAGTTTGCTCGAATGTGAAAACTCAGTGCTGATAAGGAAGGATGAAATTCACTTCAAGATGAAGTGGTCTTCATGAACATAAAGCAACATGTATTCTGATAATACTCATCAGAATCAATATCATCTAAAACCAGCTGAAGTGTCAGCGTAGAATATTCACTTTCTAGGGTAGATGCATTCATCTGTTCTCATCTAGTCAAGTAAACAATATAGTGGTCACTCAAAATTAACTACTATGCAATTTACCAATTTTTTATTTTTTTCACTAAAATGGAACATAAAAATGAAAAATAAAAAAATTAGTATTATTAAGAGATCATATCATAGTAAGAAAAAACATACTTTTGAGAATGAATCATCATAGATCAAAGTTGAAGATTCTTATTTCATTTCATCAAGAGTTGGACCCATTCTAAAAATAGCAGTAGAGTAAAGAAAATATCATCTAACTAATTCCTTAAATGAATTATATACATTTCAAAGTCAGTTATATGATCATGGTCTTGAATAAATGTCTCATCCTTCAGGTATTTAACTTGTAGTTCATGAAAGAAATGTTACTCAGTCATCATTCTTATGTCAAGTTCTTTATACATCTTCATATTTATTAATTCAAAAATAATATAATTTAATGATTCATATGAGATAGTCATTTTCCTTCCTAAGATTTGATGTGTCAATACACTGCTTAAAAACTTATCATAAATTAAACAAAAGTTAAAATTCTCATAACATGGACAAGGTAAAAAGTTTTACTGAACTGGTTGAAATTGTTAACTATAGATTTATTAGCTGTTGGTTCATTCACACGTTACCAGTGAGTTACTTGTAATTGATTGTGGTTTCCCCATATGAGGAGCCATAGAAGTGTCCTGTAAGCTATAAATTATGAAAAATTGCGATGACCTTTTCACACATGATTGCCAGTCTGTGTTAGGGGGATAAAAAAACCAGAACTTCTCTTTTAACTCTGAAAGAAGGCCTTAACTGACCTATGAGCAACTGTTTACATGCGACCATTGTGGCCAAATTGAAGCCTTTTTGAGCAATATGTATATGAAACAAAAATTAATATGAGTTTATTTTGGATACCTTATGGTGTCGACAAAAATAATTGACCTAATTACTGGCGTATTTGGTGATACCGTATGCAGATGCTATGATTTTTATCATTTCGAACCTGTGAGTTAGTAGAAAACAAAAATTACCCGTTAAAGAAAACTGTAGTTAAACAGTGGATATGAAGTACGATGTGTCTGTGTTTTGCATAAGTTGTGACTAAGTAGTTACAGCTCGCTGGACGTTATGAAAGAGAGTCGAAAGTTGCAACTGATGAGAAAAAATCACAATATCTCTTTTTGACTGTCCCGACATGGCCTCAACCTTTCAACGGCGTAAGGACACCCACAGACCCAATCTCCAAGCCTAACTTCCGGATTAGCCAAGAAGGGACACGGATAATGGTGGAACTTTCCGGGAGGCTGTTTCTGCTTCGCCGCACCTGCCCGCATCCATGCTCAGCTTCTGTATGCATATGTGGGCATCAGAAAGAGAGAGAGAGAGAGAGAGAGAGAGAGAGAGAGAGAGAGAGAGGGAGAGAGAGAGAGAGACAGACAGACAGAGAGGGAGCGTGGGAGAGAAAACGAGAGACACCGCTAATATCCGCGCTTCGATCATAGCACGAGATGATTATATACGGCACAGTCAGTAGGATGCCTCGATCGTACGGTCCAAGGTCCGCTCTTATCTCATACAATGGTATTCGTTTATCCACTCGATAATCATACAATGTTGAAGCATTTCTTGGAATTGAAATATCCTACTGGAGAAAATATGAAGGGACTTCACTTATCCGAACCGAACGTTAGCGGCTTAAGCTAAGCCTATCACGAGCAGCGTCGCTGCCTGCATCCCTACTCACCTGGTCCATGCACATTGCTCTCTTCAGAAGATTGGCCGCCTATCCTAGATCTTCCCATTTCCAAGAAGATCCCGGGGTCGATCCGGTTTAGTATCAAGGTGATTCTCTTTCTGTTCCTATATATATGGGTCCGTGCAGCAATGTTTATCTCCCAACACAAATATATCATGGACCTTTTGAAGGAGACAAACATAAGTAGTTGTGGACCATCTAATACTCCCATGGATGCCAATATAAAACCTGGAAATGTGGAAGAATCCAATAGAGTAGACCAAGAGATTTATTAATGGTTGACTAGATGATTAATCTACATTTCATACGCACAATCGAACATTGTCAATTTATGCATAACCCTAAGTAAACAACTGTGACGGCGGCCAGGGGCAAGCTGCGACTTTGGCTTCAAAACGTTTTTTTCTCGTTACTGTTCATCTGTATCCAACAAAGGTTCTGCCCTGGGATTCATGACGACTGTCAGGAAGTTTGCTAACTTAACTTTAGTTTCTGCGAGATAATGGAATTTCCATTGTGTCTTCTCTTGTATCTTCTTCCATCGCCATCACACCTATATCTGCATGTTATTGCAATAAATCGTTCGCAGCTCCATTATAATTTTTCATGTAATGGGATCTTCTTTCCTTTCTGAATCGAAAGAAATAATTACGCACTATATTTAATGCTCCTTTTTTATTTCGAAACTAAATGATTTCTCGGGTTCAGCAATCCGCGAGAAGAAGAATCAACTAGACTGCATTTCAGTTTGCCGACTATAAGTTGTGGTAAGGGACAATTGGTGTCACTTGAATGATGCAAACAAATCTTGGTGTCCTTTCACGAATCAAAAGTTGCTCAATAAACCAACTCAACTAGTGTAATCGTTGATGAATAGAAAGATAGGACTACGTTGTGGAGGCCACCAAAGAAGGAATAGCAACTGTGGTTGCTGGCTTGGTCACCATGGTAGTGCCTGTTTCCAATCGACGTGTTGAATACATTTAACTTAAACTGGCTGTACATTTTTTATCTCTCAGAAAATTTGCTGATCCAGTCAAATTTCGATGGACTAGAACGAAAGTTTGTATAGGAGTGAACACCTCAAACTTGAATAAGAGGTAGACGTAATTATTTCTTCCATTCATTTATTATTACTGGCCAAGCAGTACACATAGAGTGCGCAACGTACAACTTTATACTGCCCTTTTGATTCAGTTGCCCGAACAGTAGCCGAAACCGCCGTTTATTGTGGAATCTTCAGTACACACACTGTTGCGAAGAAGGGCACGCTCAACAGATCATTCGAATGCTCTTGAAGTCGTTAGGTCCACACTTGCGGGTCTCTTTCTTCAGATCATAGGGAGTGCCCTTGCACTGAGATTTTGTGTAAAGCCTGGCTGCTTGGCCTTGCGTGAATACGAAATGGAAGCCTGAGTGGTAGGCGCTGATGTCGAAGCACCCACAGCCATTGATGTCTTTTGTTTTCCCGGCGCATGCAGGCCCGGAGAAGGCCGTTAGAGTGCTCGCCGACGCCAATTCAACGGCGGCGGCTGCGATGAGCAGGAGAAGAACAGCGGCGGCCGGGGTGGCGAGAGTTCTCTTGGTGTTTGCCATAACTTCTTCTGGGCCTGCGTGAGAGTTGTCAAGAACAAGAAGGATTTGGCAATGGCTTGCTAGTTTTGCCGCTGTCTCTATTTATAGGAGTATCGAAGGTAAAGGAGGTGATCTCGGAAGTTGAGTTCCATACGGCTCTTCCAAAATTACGTTGGCAGCATTACGTGATATAAGCCAGTTCCCCTACGCGATTTAGAAAACCATACACATCTTCTAAGACGCGTGATGACGGGGAGCGGTCAATTTTTTATTCTCTGGCCTACTGGTTGTCATTTGACTGATTAATCGATTCAGGAATAGATCCCCATGTCTTGCTGTTTCACAACGTCTCCATCAGCAGCTTTACCTGTACTCGGCTATATGAAGGCATGACTGCGTGCTGAAATCTGATTCCCCCCGCTTGGCCTAGGCTCATCCGGTCACGCAGTTTCGTGTTACGGTTGGAGGACTGGGTTTCTCCTGATTGTCCGCTGATCAAGCTACGAGCATACAGCTTCATTTGATCAATTATTATTTTACCGCCGTCTTAAACTATTTACAGCGGACAATGTATAATTATTTCGTCGATGTGCGGTCCCCAGATCTCGCGGCAAAGCCAATTCAATTTATCCAATTAGAAAATTGTGGGTGCGGATGAAGGGGGATGAGGATGGCTACGTGATCCATCTAGTCGCTTACTTGTGGCTTTATTCTTTATCAACTAAGTAAATTCCACTGATCCCTGACGGGTTCCCTTGGAACTTGACCATTTCTCGCCCCGGCAACGAATGTGCCGGTGTTGACGACATCCATGGATACTAGACATTGAAAAACCGATTTTCTGACTATCTTGAGATTTATTTACCCTCGTAATCCCCAGGACGCCAGTCATTTGCTCCTTTGAGGGCCCACCCCAACGATCTAAAATAACCGACGGTGCACTGAACGCACGCAGGTCCCGAAGCGGCCACTGCTGCTCTACCTGATGGTATCATATCTCTGCTCCAATATGGGTGCTCCAATGAGTAAAGTGTTTTTCTTCAATTTTTGGCCGGTCTAGAAGACTACTTCGTTTGGGTTCTACCAAATCCCTAATGATACGATGGAACGTACTCGCGCTCGTCCGTTGAAGGTGAAAGATGGTTTGTTTTAAGGAATAATACAGGTTCTCCCGAAGAATTTATCAAATGTGTCGGTCTCAATTTGGTAGGTCCCGTTGACCTGCTCATCTGGTTCCATGGCCAGAACCTTATCCACACAACAAGTTTTAAATAAGGATAAGGACGGTATTGACGTGATGCCTTACGCCTGCGAATTAAGGCATATTCTAAGGTTATTCTCTTCGAAATTAAAATCTCACCTATTAACGCAGCAGCTTATTCTAGTGATAGTTGTTGCACCATCGTTCTCACACTACCGTTGATTCGCAACGGTAACTTTCATCATCCTATAAGCAAGAAGACAGTTCTCGCAGTAGTTGTTGACGTTATCGTCCGTTTAAATATTATGGAACTGTGAAAAATCCTCTATTCACCTATTGATCATCTTCGCTGCTTAAAGGCTTATCAACTGGGTAATTCGTAAATTTGCACGGGGACGTGACGAACGTACCCTCTTAAGCTTCTAGGGAAGCCACTGACGCCTCATGTGATCCGCATTCGGCATCATGCTACAGGGTGGAATCGAAGGCGGAGTGCGTAGAGTGACAAAAAACTCCTCACGCTTTGTTTGACGATGTCTGGGGGACGCGTTAGACGGCCTTCGTGGATATTCCCATATTATCTTTGCCCTTAATGGTGTGAAGCAACCACCGTTCGCGCACTTGGACTTCAGAAAAAAGGGTAGGTTCGTGACTACCTTGCTGATCTCATGTGGTTCCGCGCGTGAAACCTTCAGGAAAGGCCAGAAACGGGGCTTACATTAAATTAATCACCTTACATCATTTTTTAAGCTGGTCAGATCCTTATCCAGGAGCGTTTCTCTTCAATGGCCCAGAGACGTGGCTTACTTCTTGGCTCGCGCCCCTTGGAAACGAACCGCTCACCAACTTCCTCCAGTCAGGTGGTGCATTAAATGGGAAGTGAGATCTGTCTAGTTTAGCATCGCACCACGAAAACTATTGATTTCGTCCTAATCTTCTAACTGCTTCAAAGCAAGCCATAATCGAAGTAACTCAAGATTTTCTTTTTCAATCTCGTCGACAATATCATCCGTGAAACGACAGGCAGCTAACTACCACTTAACCTTCGGATCCCAATCCCACGAGTACAGTTAGTACGTTGGACACGAGCGGCAAATGTTATCCTCGTCTACCCATGTGTCACTCACACCTACGCCAAACGATGCTACTCGCAGGGTAGTTTTCCCGTATAAACTGTCTATTGTTCTACAGTATCTTATTCAGCGGATACTATGCGTATCTACATGCAATTTTGTGTTCCTCCTCCTTACGACGTTAGTGGGCACAATTCTCAGAAGATCGTCATCAATTTTAGGGAAGAAATGCTGGATGGTTGATCGACATAAAGCTAGAAAATGACGACGTTGTTGTGGAGGATTGGTTTTATCGGCGGGCTGCTCCCAGATTTTCTGTTCCCGCGCTCTACATAATTTTCGACTGACTCTAAATCATACCAACATCACGTGATAATTTTCGACTGACACTAAATCATACCAACATCACGTGGCTTCCCCGACGGTAGTTTCATAAAGCGGAGATGCGGAGGATGGTAGGTTATTTTTGCATTGGCTACTGCCATTCGACGGTAGTTCTTGGGACATGTAACAATACCCCAAAATCCCAAAGATTCTTCAGTATCTAGATTTTACGTTTATGAACCTTAGAAATTAGGTTTCTGCTCACGTATTAGCCCTCAACAAATCTCACCGTTTAACGGTTCTGTTAGATTTTGAACATTTTAGGGTATCCATGAAATGAAAGTCACCTAAATCGTGAGACTTGAGTCAGAAGGAAGTTGATCACTCAACAAGTCTTCAGTTTCTCTTACTTGTCATTGACTGACGTTCGTGTCGACTTAAGATTGTTAGGTTATTCGAGAACTAGACGCGTCCCATTAAGCTTAAACAGCTCGGAGTCCTGCTCATAGTGTTTTTAACATCAGACGGCATTTGTTCCTTAGCGTGAGGATGCAGTGAACATTTCATTGAACTAATTTAGTGAACTGAGGAGAAGTACGCTTGGGGTCCCCCTTCATCTCAGATGAAAGCTATGCCGTTAGCTTACTGAAGCTTGCCTGGATACCAATTCGGATTACTGGTCTGTAGCCGGCAAAGAAGAGACGCCACCTCGAAGTGTGCTGTAACCCATGCCCTCTAAAGTGCACCTTCGAAGTACGCTTGGGGTCCACCTTCATCTCAGATGAAAGCTATGCCGTTAGCTTGTTGAAGCTTGCCTGGAGACCGAAGTTCCTCGAAAGATGTATTCTGAAATGTGCATGTAAGATCAACAACATCAAGTGCATCCACAGGATGGAGTCGAGTTATCAACAACAGGTACAGAAGAGTTAAAATGACATAAAACAGGTACAAGCATAGAAAGACTCCAAAATTTTGCCATTCGTTTTTAATTGGGATGTAATGATTCGCGCTTTTGGAGGATCATTGATTTCCCTTAAATGTAATCATGAGCAATAAGCTTATTGTAGGGAAAATTTGTTCGCTTGGTACGTTCGTAAAGGATAAGGATCTGAGAACAGGAACTTTTACAAGCATCGTAAAAGGTTTCGAATGGTCTACATAAGGCTTAGATTGTATGGACTATGTTACACGCACAATTAAATTAAGATGTTTTTAAAGTTATAAATAGCACCTCTATTTTAAAGATTGTAGGTACAATTTTATTAATATAGAATTTCTTGAACTAAGAACAGAATGGTCAAATATTTGTCACAAAACTACCCGTTTTGAATTTATTTCGACTTTGGGAATATTTTAAAATTTTCAAAAACAAATTTTAAGTATTGGCAAGGTGCTACGTAACGACCGTTGGAACGAGGATAGGCAAACGATCTTGCCCAGATTTGACTCTGTGAGATAGATAATTTCTCCGTCCTTCAGGACAATCCTAGAGACATTTTTTATTATATTTCAAAATTAAAAACCATGGATCTATAATACCAAAACGGGCTTCATTCTAGTGTATTTAAAGGGTCTATGCTGCAAAATGTGTTACGCTAGAATCAAAGATTAAACGATGCAACTTTGGTAAGAAATTCACTTTACTATCCTTGTTTCGTCGATGAGTAGAAGCTATGCTTCAATTGATACCTCTTTACTTGTAACCGCGTGCCACCTGGATTGACGAAACCATTGAATGTCTGAGCTTAACTCTGTCAACGTTAGGTTGGCTTGATGAACTTAATGGCAGTAACTATGATTATGGGAAAGATCGAATGGAAATGCTTATATCTAGGGTAATCACTGCAGCTTATAACCAGGCCGCGGCCCATCTCCTAGAACGCATTGGGAAAGTGTGTGTTTGAAATCGGAAAGTATGCTTGGACGGTACTCGCCAGAGAAGCCCTTGAAACCCAAGAAGAAAAGAGTGCTTTCTTTTACCGCAGATGCAAAAGCCTTGGATGTCGCGTACGATCTGGTGAGCCCACCAGATGATCTTCGCCAGCCAAGAGGTCAGGTCAATTCGTGTTTCGTTGAAAGCAATCGAGTGAGATTTCTCAAAGGAACCACACTAAACCGATCCCTGGAATGAGGCAAACACCCCTGTAGTTTATTCATGAGGACAGAAAGCATGTTTATTCAACGTTAGACGGCTGCCGTGATCCTTTATTTCATAGGATGTATTTATCGGGTTCTTTTAGTACATGATAAGACCACTAACTCGAAGTCAGATTAGTGGATAGATCACAACGAACAAGATCACGCTTAGCATAGAATGCGGACGCTGTTAAAAATGTGGAACCAACAATAGCGAACGCGCCAGAAGATGGGAATGTAGAAGCCAAGGCAGCCTGTGTTGAGGTAGAACAGGCCGACCTGGCGCG